CGACCTGGTCATTGTCAATGCATTGCAGTCTATCAGGCCTCATTGACTAGACTTACATGATTTTAAGAACTTGCTGCTGGGGAGGGGAGGGTGGTTATCTTGTGGGGTTTGTGTGAAGAGCTGGGGTTTTATGTTGTGGTGCAGGTTGAAGTTATGCTTCAGTTTTTATTCCATGTTTTTTCTCCCTTTTTCTTCTTGGTATTCAGTTTAGTTTTTGTTCTCATCTCTGGGACAGTGGAGTCATGGAAGGTCCAGTGGTTTACAAGTATTTTGTGAATTTCATGAGTTCTTTCTCTACAATTTGCAAATTCTTGACCTCTTGCAGTAGATGGTAGCCAGTCCTGATCGGTCTAATCTAATTTGTCCATCTAGGAATCCACTAGGTGATCCTTTTCAGAAAATAACTGACACTATAGCTGTAGTGTCTGAGCTCTTGGGATGTCTTCATACTAGACAATGTGTAAACTAACAGCTTTATGGCACATAATAACCAATTTCTTTGTCAGTGGGTTTGGCTAGCCTATTATTGATATTTCAAACACTTCAAATCTCATCTCTTTGACTCTGAGTTTAATATGGATATTAATGAAAAAAATGTAGCAAATGACATCACCATACATACATAACATATGGAAAGAGAGATCCACACACACACTCAAGCCCAACACTGGATTTTATTTCCTGATACATGCTAATTGTACACTGGTTGCAGAGGTGATAGATTCAGACATGTGATGTTAATCTCCTGCTGGCAATGCTACATGTGGGCAATGGTCTAATGAAGTTCTGATGTGGTGTGGCTAGATGGACAGCATTTAAATCACATGGCTTTGCCTTTACAAGCAGGGGTATTTTATAAGAGTTCAGGCTGATGGTGTTGTTATGGTCTCTCCTTCAATGCTATCTCAGAATTTCTGGGAGTGGCTGTGGTACTGTCAGCAGAATGATTAAAGCAACAGTAGTGCCACCCTTCCACTTGTTCTCAGGCATTGTTTTTTAAGTTTTTACTTTGAAACCAATAATCAAGAAGTGGAATGTTCAAGTGTCAGTAGCAAAGGACATCACAGCTAGAGAAAGACCCTTATTGACCTCCCCAGTGCTAGTAGATTGCAGGAAATCTGCATTAATTGTTATCCCGATTTTGATGTTGGATGCATGAAACACCATGAAAAGTAGTTTGAAGCTTCAAGAGCTTGTTCATTTCAGGCAAGTAGGCAGTTATGAGACACGATTCCAGAGAACATGGTTGGAGTTAAATGCTAAGTGTGTTAGCCTGCATAGTAGGTGGTCTGATTGGTCAGTTGCCAAGTCCGACATGTTGAATGTAGACCCACCTTGAGCCCTTGCAAGCCATTGGGCCCTCTTGATTTAAGGCTGATGTGATTTGGTTTGATTCCCCCGCAGATGAATTCTCTGCTTCCTGGGAGGTGCATATTCCACCCATCTCACCAGATGATCCAATAGCTACTAGCTTTGCAACACTAACCAGGGATCCACACTAGTGTATCTACTGCCAACTATCTGCACCCTGCATTTGCTGGCAATTAATGTTTATATTGAGTTTGAAACCGTTGCATTCCCTACGTTGCCGCAGCAGCAGCTATCAGAACCAGCATTTTGGTCCTGGAGTTTACAGAGAATTAACTGTGTTAAGAGGTTTTCTTTCAATATAGATAATCTATAGAAAACCTGGTGTGTTTGTCTTTCGCTTTGAGACTCACCACTGACTGTTGTGGCAGGACTGTACATGCACAAGATGACCGTCCAACGAGAAACTAGCATTCTGGTCACGAAGACTTAACTGCAGCCTGGGGCTCAAATCTCCCTCTGAATACCCAATTTTTCTCTCTGGTGCCTTCTGGTTTGTCTCTTTCTGCATAATAATCTTCTCTGATTTACTTCCACGTGGAGAGTCCTTACAATTCTCACTGTGCCACTCTGGAGACTACGCTGTATAACCTATGGGCATATTCTTTGTTCGTGAGGGGCATGACTCTCGCAAGTCTTTTGACCTTAGCAACAAAATTAAGCACTGGAGCGAGTTGATGAGTTTAAAGTCAAGCAAACAGAAGATCGTCTTTATGAGAATTCCAGCAGATTTTTACAGACACATTTATTTCGCGAGGCCTGTGACAAGTACTGCTTCTGCTGGCTCTCTCAGAGCTCCATCTTTTCGAAGATGATTGAGGCGACGCTTGCGCTCCCTCGGATGGATATAAACCTGCTCACCCAGTCCTTTCTCTTCCACCCTTCCACTGGGGAATGGCATTGCGTGCTGCTGCACTACCGGCAGCTCCCCCTGCCCCTCCTCAGAACTTAAGAATGAAGTTCTCAGTTCTGATCACTGTTTTTCAAGTCTTCCTCACCACTGTGCTGCGTGTATTCTGTGGATTTTCTCCCTTGCCTGCAGCCAGCTTAATTTTGACTGTGGACGTGCGAGAGTTTCTGTATGCATCTGAATGATCATCCGCTGACTTGTGTGACCCACGTCCTGGGTCGATTTGGAATTCTGTTTAAGAGCGGGCTCTATCCACTACAAACAGCATTGATTCATGACATTCGACATCTGCTGTGGATCAGTTTGTACATGGGTGGATCATAACACTTCATGCGGATCAACCGAGGGTTTGTTGCACATACTACAACAGTTGTTGGTTGTGCAACCCAGCAACCTCGGTCTTCAGTAAGTAACGGGCTTGAGGGTTCTCGAAGGTACCAGCTTTTTGTTTCAAGTGGTTTAGTCATGTGGTGTGTGTGCAGGTTGTGGAACTTATCGGTGATGTCGTTGGTCGACAGCCATATCTCATGAATGGCCTTCCTCTGGTTAATCCTACTTGAGTCTGACCACGTTGTTCACCTCCAACATCATCAAGTTTTTAGCATCATCTGGGTTTCTAAACTACTGCTCTAGACCCAAAACCTTTTGTTGTATCTTTCACTCCTTGTCACTTATCAACTTAGTATGTGTCCTTGGGTGCAAGGGACCCGACGTTAGGTTGATGTTTTACTAGCCTTAATCAGTCAGATAATTCACAGAATGTGCGAGGCAATGAGCGGTCGACACATCTTCTTATTCTACGGAAGGTGGACAGCTGAGGGTGCTGCGGAATTATGAGATCTGCGCCAGAGCATTACCAGTAATTGGAAGGAGCAAGTAATGTTGCGGAGGACCAGGATGTGATGATCAGATACAATCCGGCGGTGGCATTGGGAATGTCCATCACAACCTGCCAACATTCCAGGTTATGTTGACGGGTCGTGATGGGCACTCTCAGCGTCTCATGTCACAAAAACGCAGACATCTCACTCCGTCACCAACACAGTTCTGAATATACGTGCAGTACGTCGATCAGGCGATCTCTTCAGGTAATGTTCATATCAGAGTTGTAGTCCCGTATTTGAACAAATGGTTTCAAAGCGCGGTCCTTGAAAATTACACGGAATCAAAGAACCGCCGGAGCTTTAGGAAAATTTATGGCAATTTTAGTCATGGTAAGTATGTTTTCCAAATGTAGTTGACTCGTGAACTGGGTGGAAAGAGGTTCGAAACCATGTCCATGCATTATTCTCAAAGAATACCTCATGATTTCTAAGCACTAAAAGCATAGAAAGTACTCGGAACGTGCAAATGCTACCTGTCTCTCGTCTTACTCTGACTTCTTCTTTAACCCTGACCATGTGGGTACCAAATCTGTCTGATCAATTGAAATTCTATTTCATTTAGTATGATAATAATTTATCCAGAAAGCAATCGGAATATGTCCCAGTTACTGCAACTTTTCAAAATACTTCCTGAAATACTTCGAGCAGGTGAAATGCTCGGTGCCAAAAGATTATCGTCTCTACAAAGTTTTTGTCGTACCTTCGAGGTTTCTGAATGTTCCTTTTCTAGTGATGATGTTCCTTGATTTATCTAGACATCAGAGCTGGCGCGAGTAGAATTAGTTACATTGTGTGACGACATGAATTTACTTCTACTCCATAGAAAAAACGAATGCTTCCTAGCGAAGAAGATAAACTTGCTGAACGCCTGCATATCAATATCTCAGAGCTGTAATCCCCTTTAGGACAGAGACTCTGTCTGATTGAAAGTGGAATCTCAAACTTTGACCACCACACTGTTGTATCTCTGTTCCTAACAATGGAATAAATTTTCAGGTAGAAAACATAATTTCATGAATGTTTGTGCCTTGAAGCTTGGATGTAACTGGACTCCACAAATCGCACGAGCATTAACTCTGCCAAGAGGGTTTACAATGGACTTTGTTCTCGTTGAATTATTTCTGTTGAGTTGTCAAGTTTGCACAAAAATTCTATTTGTCAATTTTGATCACTTGTGAATCATACTGGAAATGATTTTCAAAAGAAAGAGTTATAGTTGTTCTACGAAAATCAACTGTGGCCAACAAAGAAAAGACTCAGATTACACACATAATTATTTCTTTTACTGTTTGACATACTTACATAAAGAATTAAGATGATTTTCTTGATTAAAAAATAAGTAAGATAAAAACATTACATACACAACATTCATACATTTTGTGGATGTCATATCAATGGTGTCAGACTTTCAAAAAAGAAAAAGAAAAGAAAAGAAACCAGAACAGAAATTAAAATAGATATAAACTGAAATTATTTCATATGTAAATGTACTCCAGAAAACTTCATCACCGTTTTATTTTTAATTAATTTCTTATTTCACGTTGTCAAATTTGTAAAGTTAACGATTACCATTAACTATTTACTTGTCAATCTTGGAATGAGTCGTTCTTAATTGTAGAGTCCATCTTATTCATCTCACATGTGTGCAACAATGAATTTATTTCTTTAAGGAAATTTGAAAAATTGGTTTGTGAAGTATCGTCTCCGAAGTACTACAAACCTTGTGGAAATACGCACAGAAAAGTCTGACTTTATTCATCATTTTGACTTACTCGCAATAAAACACTATCAAGTGCAGCCGTATGGCTCGTCTTATGTCGGATAGTCTAGAATGAGAAGAGCTTGAAGGTGCAACTTTATTGGTATTCAGGTACAATGTTAAAATCCAATGCATTCACAAAGCGTGAGCTTTCAACTAGTTAGTAGCCAACACAGCAATGGCATGTAAAATCTATTACAGTGTTCAGACATCGAACATGCGTAGCTTCTGACCAATAACACTCCAGAAGGTGAACTTCGTTTCAACTCCGGTAGGAAAAGTTAGGCTCTGAATGTTCACCGTATTGAAATTTCGGAAGTCTGGAAGAATCGTCGTGGAGTGTTGTGCACAGAGCTTCCTCAATTTTAGATTCAATGACCAGAACGAACCCATTTCTTGATCACTAGCATGAAACACAGAATCGCAGCAACAGGATCTCTACAACCAAACTCCAGTCCGCAAAATACATATGCAACTGGTTGACACAATGGAATATCCAGTCCTGCAGCTTACGTTTTCCATGTCTGATACGAGTGCTAATCTCAGTTTCTACAAACTGATCAGAACAACGTGAGTGTTAAGGCAACTGTTAAGGCAGTAGGACGAAGATCGCCCGGAAAGCTTCACAGTGCTGACACCCCTGCTAGCAAACACAAGTTTATGTGAGATTCAAGCGGCCCCACCTAGTTTACAGATGTCTCTCGGGATCCTACGTAGCAACAAACATAATAATACCCAGCTAGATTTTTCATCTGTTAGCAAGACGCAAAATCAGGACATAGGAATTTAGAAACAGACCTTCCATCAAGTCGCAATGAAATGGTGTAAGTATATTCTGTAATCGGTGGACAGATCTGACGACCTACAACTTCTAGAACAATTGCATGCTGATGAAAAGAGGCTTTTCAGAGGTATGGCACGTTCTCTCAAACGATGTCCACTTCTGGCGATGGTGCAAGTTCTGAAACATTTGGCATTGCTTCTAACGCTTATGCCAATCAGCGCCACGCCTGACAATGCGGATTATGCTGTTGTATAATCTACTGTACTAGCATTGAAAAATTCGGAACACACTATTCAGCTAAAAAGTCAACATTGAAAAGCCGCATAGATCAGGCTTTCCGCACTGTCATGAAGCAGTGGGTAAACACTGACCGGGCATGTAACCATACAGGGCTGGTGATGTGGCTGGATTTAAAAGACAAATGAAGCTCCCCAAACCTACAAGAAATGTCAATCCTATCACTGCACATTACACCAACAATCATAAGCTGTATGAGATGACATAGTCAATACAAAGGAATCTAACCACCTTTTTGCATCCGTACAATGCAAGTTATGACAACTGTTACTCCAATGATAAAGCACCTTTGTTATACGGCGATTCGAGGGCATCACCAACAGCTGGCAAACCCATTACGTTGCAGAATATATGAGCCACCAAGGGAGCTACCAGATGTCCTACATGCCACCCAAACGTTCTCATCATTTGAAAGTAAATCAACTTCAAATTAACCAACCTTCACATACGTATCAAAATATATGATTTATGTCCACTAAATACACACAGTTTCACTGCAGCATTTAGCCAAAGTGGAATTCTGAACGCTGGAATAAACATACCTGTTCGAAGATAAAGAAAGGCTGCGTACCAACCAAAAATAGTGGTGTATGCAAACCTAAAACCTGCGCGGTGAAAAAGTAGATTCCATTCGTTAGGGCATAAGTATGTTATAATATTAAGTAAAAGCTTGAGATGGTTTACCATGCTTTGATTAGACAAATATTACTGTTGCAGCTTGCTTGAAACTCAGGCATAATCTCTACAAGCAAGACTATCAAGTAATGCGTTCATAGAGCGATCGCTTGATTACTTTATTGATACGCATCAGTAGTAGCTGAGATAAAGACACGTCCTGCTACCTGTTATCAAGTACAGAAAAACAACCAGATGAACGTCGCCTCGTTTGTGCCTGTCCGAATGTACACAAACTTTCATAAAAGGATACCTGTAATGAGTGCCGCAATTTTGTGATTTCGATTCTCGGGATACACCGTCTCCCAGTAATGATTCAGGTGAGCTGCAAGGAAGGACAAGAAAAAACATCAAGACATATGAAAACTTGTATGTTCTCATGAAGCCCAAAGGAATTAAGCTAGCCGGAAAGGGCTACTGAGAGTAGGAGAAAGGAAATCATCCAAAACGTCTTGATCGATCGAAGGCAGAATTATTCAATCGTCGCTTTCCATTGTTTTCCAGCATCGAGCTTGCATATGGCCATAGGCCAAGAAGAATTAGTTTGCAACAAGGCTATCTATTCTTCAAAATGAAGAACATAAAGAGTTTAATCTTACCAAGGCCAAAATACAGTGGACACAGAAGCATGACTTTGAGTTGAGAATAGCCCGCACACAATAATACTGGGACCATGCAAGCTCGGAACACCCACTCCTCAGTAAGTGGCCCCTGTTCCAAGCAGTCTAATGAAAGGTGAACACAATGGAGCAGTATCATCAACCACTAAGCATCAACAAACCATATATTAGTAATGAAGGATACCTAACATCTGACAAGTTACAACAAGAACCCGAACAACCTAAATTAGACTAGTTTGCGCAAGTCAACGACACATTTCACAAACTGGCAGATTGGTATCTTACCACAATGTAGTTGCGCCATGCAAATATGTCGGTAGTCAAGGAAATTACATTATCTCTCGTCCTGGTAAAGAGGCCTTGAATAAACCCCATCTCTACTTTCGCCTCATCTTCAAGCCTCTCGTCTGTGTTCAGAGCTGTCATGACCAGGGGGCCAAGGTATAGCAGAGCAGTCAAGAGTAGGGGATAGAGTGTTGCCTGCCACTAAGAAACGAATGTTGGGCACGAGAGAGAGCGTGCAAAGAAAACGAAATCATTTCACAATATAGCTCATCAACCTCAAGCACAACCAGAGGAATCAAAGAGCATCAATAGCTATGTTTTGAAGCTCTGCTTCTATCAAGGTTCATAATAACACTGATATCTGACAAATTGATGCTTGCACATATATTGCAGCTTTAGAGAGTTCTGCTTGGAAATTATCATTATCTTCAGCTTTGAAGAGGAGAATTAGACGGAGCAGGAGGGTGTCGGAATAGTAACACATACGACATGGTCTCTTCGAATGCCAAGTACGGCGAGTGCTGCTGGTAGGTCACCATTTCGGAGCATATCAATCTGGAAACGTCAGACATGCGGATTATTCAAAAATTAAGATTCAAGACACTGTGAAATAATTACATTATCAGTAATACATCCCACACAGCCTACTAATAATGTGCGTGGGTTTCACGCTCCTAATTACTCATTGCTTACTCACTTGCAAAACAGGTGAAGAGATCACTTACAGGTGAACCTAAAAGCCAGAAGCAGAGTCCAGAGGCGAGGACGGAGGCAACAACCGAGCACGTAAACCGCCGAATGTAATGCTCGTTGATGGTTCGTGCAGGTGGCAGGCGAAACAAAAGGCTGGGGGTGTAAAGCATGCCCACGTAGAGCACTGCCATCGCCGCGCACGCTAATATGGCAGTACCGGATGAAAAACTGGGATTAGCTGCCATGGCTTTAGCCCCTGGAATAATGTAGAGTGGTCTCAGCTGGAGATTAGTGCTGCCAATTTTTGCTCATGAACATTCGAGGGACGGGGAAAGCTTCAAAATCTTCACATGGGATCACTTATAGCATGGACGTAGTATAACAACTGCAACCTCATGGTTCTCATGAGGTTTCGACTCTGCTATTACAATTGAGCTCCATGACAGAGATGAGAGACACAAAATTAGCTACTAAGGATTGACTACCCAATGTGCTCAATTGGAAACCTAAAACTATCCATAAAACCTAAGTCCGAAAAAAACAACGTCAATCTGCAGAGCAATAAAATCTAAACGGTCAGACTAGAAAAACCAACATTTCCACTAAACCTGGTAGCCTCGAATTGACAGAATTGGAGAAACCATCGGAAAGAGACGATGGAGTGACTGCCACATCGCCACAAGCTTTGACCTCAATCCCCATTACCTACATGACACAAATACGCATCGCAGAAAAAGACCCAATATAAGTTATGTACCCATGGTTCTGCACACGTCGATACACATCATGTATCGTGAGGCTTTCCCGCAAAGATTCTGAAACGGGTTACCACGGAGAATCAATCATACAACATTTCCATCGTCGAGGTATGATGAGCATCTCGTCACCTACGGAACACGCCCATTGCCAATCGTTTCGTGTAGAAATCATCCATGTCACTTCATCACACCAACGTGAAAGTGTGCGAGGAAGGCCTCGTGCGATCTAGACTAGGATTTACAGTGTCAGAGATCCAACGGATCAATTTACGTTGAAGCATCTTCTCGATGAGGAGGTGGCATGTGGAGAGGGGTGGAGAAATTTTTAGGGTCCGCGCAAAGTAGGAAAGATGAGACGAGCTGGATTATTATTCGTTGGATTTCCCCATGATTATGAAAACTTAATTTTGCAAATGCACATCTCGGATGCACTTGTGCCGCTGGAGGGACAGCTGCAGAGAATTCTCCTTGGTAACGAAGGGTCCCCAGGGCGAGATCCGAAGGCCGACACCATCTAAGAGCTGTTTCTAAATTTTAATTTTAGTTGGTCGTGAGAATTAATCGCATGGACTTTTGAAAATTATGGTGATGTGAGTTCATTTGACACCACTAGGTCCCACGCATCAGATGCTTGCACTAGCCCTAATTAGGGGTGTGTCTCAGATCCTCCTGAAACTCCGTCCTGAAGGGGAACCCTTGCCGCAATGGCACGCTCCCAAGTCTCATGTGACAGTAATCGGGCAAGTGATCCCCGACACTAGGTGGAGTCCCTGGCGCTATGCGCAAATTCGTTGATTTCTTTGCGTTATGTGGGTGCCCAATAGGGTGCGTTTCTGCTAATTTCGATAGTGACTTATGTCGAGAATTGTGTGATTGAGAATTGACGTGCACTGCGAACTTGCGTTGGACTTGAATTCTTAGTGTTTGTTTCGAGTTTTGAGGGTGCGTTACAGGGCAAGCGCCTGCTGTGCGGAGTGGCGTACGAGATGGAGCACAAAATTGCAGCTCTGCGGTCGCAGTTAGCGGATCTAGGGCAGGAGCATGTTTTGGCGGGGCTTTCTTCAGGGGACTCCTCTCAACGGCAATCTCTGGTTGATCAGGTCTCCAGCATCGATCTTCCTCTCTTCCGCCGTGCCCTCGCCGATGTGGTTAGAACTCTCAAAGGCAATAAAAACCGGTTAGTTATAGATCTTCCATTTCGGGTATCCTGCTTACGTATATTGTTACATTGGTGCGCTTTATCGGATTCTTTGTCCGCACTTCACTAGGCCTTTGGATATGCAAACTTAAATCTATTTTCAGAGTATTGTGCTTGGATTCGGCGCTCTGAATCATTTCGTTTGTTTTGGAGTTGTCAATGAAGGGAAGCTTTATGATTCAGTGTAAATTTCGCGTAAGTACTCCGCAAATGTCATCAAACTTTATGTCCTCATTGTCTAGACTCTCTTGCCCGTCGCCAGATTGGATAAACAGCCTATTCCTCCAAAACCTTTTCCACAAGCGAAGTGGGAGGGTTTGCATGAATGGATCAGCAGCTCGGGGGACACTTCGAATGAGAAAGACGACACTGCAAGATGGTGGAGTGAGGGATTGCGGCTTGTAGCTGATGGCGAAGTGGCAGTTCTGGTTTTGGCTGGAGGACAAGGGACTCGTCTTGGCCCTGGTGCACCGGTGGCGAAGGGCATGCTGGAGCTCAGCGTTCCAGAGCCTAAGTCGTTATTTCAGCTTCAAGCCGAGCGTTTGCTTCTCGTAGAAGAGCTTGCTGCCTTTGTGCGTACCTTGTCTACCTTTTCCATGGTGTCTAATATTTGAAAATTCGTCACAAGTAGGCGACAGCTTGCTTTCACTGTGCTCAGCTCGTCGATTGAAAGGCCTTGAAGTTCCGATGTTAGATTGCAACAATTATGCGATTCGATGTCAATCAACTTGACGAAGCTCCCATCAAAAACTTCACATCCTGTATGAAGCAATGCGAGTGATTCTTCAGAGATGTTGACATACCAACAGGGTTGTGTGCCACTGTGAAGGTTACGGATGACACCATCAAGCGTCGAATTCCTTGGCTAGTCATGACCAGTGATGCCACGGATTTAGCTACGCGGACTTTTTTTGAGGAGAAGAACTTCTTTGGGCTTGAGAAGTCGCAGGCAAGCTGAACTTCTATCCCCGCGCACACTATGGTATAAGTTATCAGAGTGTTTGGAAAGTTTCCAATTTGACTTCCTTTAATGTTGGGCATCCTGGATCCTATTAGTTGCCGTTTTATGTTCAGTTCTTTCTGGGCTCTTGCAGGTTTGGTTTCTGAAGCAGAGTAGTCTTCCATGTGTGGATCTCGATGAAGGCCATGCCATGCTCATGGAGGCACCATGGAAGGTGGCCATGGCTCCAGCTGGAAATGGGGCTCTTTTTTCTGATCTCCGCACAGCTGGCTTCATCAAGAAGTTATCCAGCCAAGGGGTGAAATATGTGCAGGTTTTCACATGACTGAATATCTTGCCGTTTCTAATACAGCTGATACAGCATCTCATTTCGTATTAAAATAATTGTTATATTTTTAAACTATATTATTCTAGCATTGCGACAAACTTGTTTAAGCATTCTTCATGTTAGTGGCTGGAATGCATTTTGCACTGATTCAGTCATTCCATACGGTTCGTGCATTTATATTCGACACTTTTATTTATCAATGAGGATCTTGCTAGCAGAATCGTGTTTCATATAGCCAACGGCAAACCTTGATGCCCACGCAGGTGTACGCAGTTGATAACGCTTTGGTAAGAGTTGCAGATCCAGTGTTCTATGGTTTTATCCATCGGCGTCAAGCAGAAGTGGGTGTGAAGGTGGTCTCCAAGATCCACGCGAAAGAGTCAGTTGGGGTGGTTTGCCTTCATCAGGAAGGAGCCTCAAACCTCAAATGTGAGCGGTACGGAGTCCTAGAATACAGCGAAATGCCAGAATCACTGACCACGGCTAAAGATAACTCCGGACAACTCCAATTTCGAGCAGCCCATATTTGCATCAATATGTTCTCCGTGCATTATTTAGAAAAATTGACAGATTTGGATTCCCAGCTGGAGTTTCATCCTGCTGTGAAGCGGATCCCACACATGCGAAAAACGTCTGGTATTTGGGAGACGGTCAATCCAGCGAGGCCGAATGGAATTAAACTTGAGCAGTTTATCTTTGATTCATTTCAAAGCTGCGACTCGGAGAAGGTGAGCCAGCTTCTCCGTGCCTCTGAATTACTCTCTCTCTCTCTCTCTCTCTCTCTGATGTTCATACAAGAATTTTCTTTGCATACTTCGTACTTCTCAACCCTCTCGCTGCATGTCGGGTAGGTGGAATTTGACTTGCGGGTGTGAATTTAATGTCTGTGTGTAAAGGTTGCACTCTTAGAGGTGAGCCGTGAGGAGGAATTTGCACCTATCAAGAATGCTGTCGGTCCAGGTATTGCAGACACAGTAGCCACTGCTACTGAACTTCTCTTGGCACTCAAACAACGAGTGAGCGCTTTAACACCAGAAATAGGTGCAGTGAGCAAGGGGTTCGCGCTTCTCAAAGCGTATGCTGGAGGCGCCACTGAGAGCGCAACTTCAGACCTTGTGAATCTTAGCATTGAATAATCTATTCCTTTGAGTTGGCCCAATTTCGTGAAGTAGGGACTTCTCGAAGTCTGGAGGATTGCAGGATGATAAAGTGAAATGACTTCACCGCGTATTGTCGGAGTCGATTCCAGCGACTATGATTGGCTTCCTCATTTCGGATTGTGAAGTGGTACCTTTTTTGTCTGTCACGTGCTGGCATCTGAAAGGATTAGTTCGGGCAGATTCTCTTGGCCTTGAAGATCGGCAAGTCATGATTTAGGCTAGTATTAGTCGTTAGGCAGCAACGATGCCTTGAAAACTTGGAAGAAAAACGAGTGTTGTGGACTACTGGTCAGACTCTAGATACGTAGCTATTAAGTCTACATATTGAGGATTTCAAAAACTTTGCGTACGTTGAATTGTTGGTAGAAGACATCTGACATGACTGCTTCAGTATAACTGAGTATTTTGATTCAACCACTGCTGAGTTCTCATTCTGTACTTGATGAACGTGGCTCACTGTGAACCTGCAGAAATCTTAAACGTGTTGCTGCAGCAAGCATGCTCAACCGCGGTTGATCATGTTTTCAGCAGCATCCAGGGTTCTGATGTACTAGACCGAGCATGCGGATCGTTGTCCATGTGATGTCGGGTCTACTCTCTCGTTCAAAATGATGTATATTGACACCAGTACCCATTGATGTCCTTGGACATGGTCGCACAAGTTTCTGGTCAATCTCTTATCCACTTTTGGTGAACACCCCAACCATACTGTTTTGAGTAGCCAGTATGAAGGCACCAAAACTTTGACGCGAGGTTTGTGACCCACAGGTCAAAGACGAGAGTCAGACTTCACTCCTTTCAGTACGAAACAACTGCATCAATCACAACGACTAGAATTGACTACATAACTGTACAGACTCCTGCTTGCTCATTTTCTACTCCTGAAAGTGTAAGACGGACTATTGCTGTCTTATTATTGTATGCTTCACAAAGCTGCAAAAATGTGTGAAATCCGGATCATGAGTCCACGTAGAAGAACCGTAGAACTCGTGCGTGGACTGCGAAAATCCATGAATGAAGCAACCAGGACACATGACTTAGAATCTAGAATCGGCAAAATTGCAAGGACCCAAAAAACGCATACAACAGTGTATGTGTCCATGCAGGAGCTGATTCCTTTGAGAAGAAGGGAGGGTTGGATTTTCCATGCTTTTCAACAGATTTTCATGCTGAGCTGGTAGTTTAATAGAAACAACTTAGATGTGAGAAAGAGAGAGAGACAAAGGCATTTTTCTTGGGCTTTGACCCCAAAATCTGAGACCAAATCGATGGCTTCAAGTCAAACAATATGTTCATGAGTTAGTGGTGTGCACCTTTATGCTTTGGAAAAAAGCAGTCACTTTTGGTTTTGTTTTATCACAGTTATGTCTTATTTTTCTCTCTATTATTATTAAAATCATAGTTTAGTTTGTTGTTGTTGGTAAGTAGCATAATTGTTTTTTGTTCCAAATATTACTAATATAATAGGAATCCTAATTAATTAATTAATTAGTAAAAACTATATATATATATTATTTATTTATTTATTTATTATTTAAAGGAATTATGAAAGAGTCCATCAAGCACTATAAACATTTCAAAACTTCTCATATAACAAATTGTTCTTTATTTTGATTTATGGTCCGTAAGATAGCCTCTTGCGTGTTTCACGTTGTTGTATGTAATGCATGATATGATTTAATCATACGCACTTCCAATGTCCGTTTTAATGTTTTTTTTAGTTTTCTTTTCCGATGTTATGGGATATTAGAGTGCGCAGTGAATGTGATTTCACTCTTCCATTGTTTGTAGTCACAAGAGCCATGGTCTATAGAAATGGACCTGAAACGGTGAAGATTGCAAGCTTCGATTACTTGCCCACAATTGGGTTCACATACGCGGGATCCTGCAAATCCCACGACAAAACTGTGAAGATCGACAGAGAGATGGATGCACATCCACGTTAGTTAGTTTCGGCGCAGTAAGTGGCCCCAACGAAGGAAGAGTCCGTGACCGATCGACTGATTGACAGACAAATCGTCAGATTCGAAGGGTGGGGAACTGATGAAACCAGAATGCCGCATGTCGGTTGGCACATGACCCGAATCACAAGACTGAACTCGCGAGAGGAGATCCAACAGCACGCCAGCACTGCGGCTCTGATCTATTCGGACAACATCGATATGGATATGGGGAGGGAGTGGTGCACGTGTTTGAGCAGCGCTGCATCAATGGGAGAGGCAATGTGGTGACGAGCAAGGTCGGGGAACGAAGGAATGGTTGCAATGGGGCCGGAGTGCTCACCGCAACGAGGCACCCATCCTGGTGTGGGAAAACAATGTTTACCGGCGTGGACGATGGAATTGTTGACGGGCCTTGAAGTGCTCATAATGCAAACCGCGGTTCCAAGTCCTCGGGCTATGGCGTCCCACTGCTACTACCCCCTTGCCTAGCGTAAGAAGCAGGTCAAGACTTTTCCAGATTGAGTTAATGCGAGCGTTCGAGGCAACAACTGCAGCTCCCGAAAGCACGGCCGAGAAAAGCCCCAAGCGACCATAGTTAACCGTTACCAGTTCGAGGGCCGACGCGGGGCCCGCATCCGCATCAAGTTTTTAAATCGGAGAAGGACTCTGCGGACTGCGGTGGAATCGTGTGGAGCATCTCTCTGACACACTCAGGCCGATCATGCGACTCCTCGCCGTCCTTGTGCCTCGTGTCCGGCAGCGCAGCAAACCTTCAGTTTTACCGCATCGTTGTGGATGAAAGTCGTTCCGAAAATATAAATTATCCGTGCGTCAGTGGGCACTTTGGAGGTGTGTCAGTAAATGAGGCCTGGACTCTCGATGCATGTCGATGTCGATGTCCCTTGGCGCGTGTTTTTTTTATCGACCCGGAATGGCGAGTTTTGGCCGCAGTCAATCTCATGAGGCGGGGCTTGAATCAACGTTAGAGTGGCGAGTCACAAGAGTAATTAGGCGGAGGGTAGTTAGATTTTGTCGGTGGGTTGGTTGCACCGGCCTGTGCTCCTCACGAGCAGGTTACGTAGCTAGCGTTGGATCCTTGGAAGGACAAGTGCACAGTCGGCAGTGGTGAAGTGACTCGTTGTCGTAGTCGTCGTCTGTCTCAGTGCTGGGTTCGACATCCGGTGGGACGAGGTTACGCTAGGCTGAATCCGTGTGGGGTGTATGTCAAAACGTCTGGTTGTTAAGGGGCGCCGCGTCTCCGATTCGGTGGATGAAGGGTGGCGTTGGAACGGAGATTGAGGAAAGTGAGTTGAAGGTAACGTGCATTATTGAGGTGGATGCATGGCCGGTGCTTGAGCATTGCATGTCGAATCGCAGCTGTCTCCCCTCCTGACGCTGGCGGAATCGATCGACTCCAACTCTAGCCCACCCGCTTTCGGTAATTTCTTGGAATCATAGCAATGACGTATCTGTGCCATATGATAAACTTAATTGAATCAAGTTGCAACGATGTGCTTTCGGATTGTAGATTACCCCTGGACAAACGTTATGGCCTCTTAGTTGGAATAAATTTCCGCCGAATTTCTAGAATCACCTCTTACATTGATAGCTGTCGGCGATTTGCAGTCTCTAACGTGTAGGATTTCGTCCATGAGAGACCAAGGTGACGAATAGAAGTAAGGGCAGGGTTGAATCACCGTTTTGCTGAGTGGTTGAAGCCCATTTGCAGCGCAGTTGTGCTCTGTGGAGGTTGAATGTTTTCGGTGAATTCGACCGTTGCAGGGTGCCTCATAAGTCCAGCGGATTGATTGGCGCAGCTTGTGCTTGAATGATCTTTTTGACTTCTTCTAACCCAGGAGAGACATAGACCCTCCGCTTTGAAGCGTAACTTTCCTCTTTGGACCTGATATTCAAGCCAGTTCAGCGATGCTTATTTTACACTGCGTGCTCGGATTCAGCTTCGCGTAACTCCCACGATGTCGCTTGAGATGGTCTCGGGCTGTTGTTCGAGGTTGAAGTCCTTGAAAATTAGGTGCATAATTGAGCCTCCGGATGTAGCTTGTGAACTTTGCCAACTAATGCCGCCACCATTTCTGTTTAGGGCTTTCGCCAATGATGGTAAGGCTAATTCTCGAGATTTTCAGCGCATTTTGTGATGCTGGTTTTTGCTTTCGGCTCTCGTTATAGGTGCAGACACAGTGATTGTCGTCCTCAAGATCCTGCTGGTATTATTTTCATACTCTGCCATTGGGAGTCTCGGTGGTCTTTATTTAAAACCCAATTTTGGCATACACCGTTTTGATCATACAATGCTGAGAGGATGATGAGCCAGTATAGTGGCGTCATTGTCCAGGAGAACCTCTGTAACATTTGAAAATCGTGAGTTAACACTCGTAATGGTGTAGATGCTCTGCGCAGTGTAACTTTTGACTGTGGAATTGTTTCTGTATGTCTCCCGGTTGCTAGGGTTATGCAAAAGGCGAGGAAGTTGTAGGCATTATGGTGAGATGAACTCGTGCGTTTATGTAAGGCTAACTGCACTACGTGTGCTCCTCCAGAGCCGCAAGGAGTCTGATGTTGGAGGCTCGGCGAACGCAATTCCAGGTTCCTCTCATGAGGGAGGTATCAGCTTCACAGAAGATTCGCACCCTGCAAGACCCTGGAGCAAGCTACTCTGTCACCTCTGGCCTTAGCTCAGCTGGCCGCAGTGAAAAGGTCAACACAAAAACTTTCATCAGTGATCCTCACGAAGATGCTCAAGCGCTGGCCAGTGAGATCTCTGGAAAACTCGCTAAGTTTTCATCAATATCCTCCACGAGTCATGACAGCAACATCGGAGCTCGAAGACTATCACAACGGCGAGGAGAGTCCAAAAGCCTCAGGATAGACAAGCTACAGAAGCCCAGAGGGTTCAAGAAGATGAAGTCCGAGAAGGATAGTGGTGAAGGTGACGGTAGAAATTTGAGTGATTCTGCGATGGAGTACATGAACGTGGACGTCAGAGAAAGAATCAAACGAATTGAATCAGCTTTTGAGGGATCCAGTACCACCGTCTCCGGCGAATTGCGGAAAGAGGGACTGATCAAGCAATTGAAGGAACGGGGGCGGAGAGATGCAAATCGAAACTCTGAAGAAAAGGCAAGTGGTAGGTATGAACGGGAATCTGCTCGACGAGAAGAGCTCACGAGGAGGGTCAACTCCCTCTCGCAGCTCCTGGGAAATCATCTAAAAGGAAGTGACCGGAGCGCGCTCAATATGTTGGCCATGGTGCAGGATGAGGAGCGTCGGAACAATTTTGAGTTGGAGAGCTTTTTTGAGAGCGACGAGGAGGGGCTCAACCCTACGCAGATGGAAATGTCCCGTGCTCACGAAGCATCCCCTCTTCACAGAGCCATGCTGTCCCGCGGCAAAGAGCAGCCGAAAAGAAAGTCTCAAAGTCGCCATGGCTGTGAGAAACCTGCAAGTATGCGCGCGAAAGAAAGGGGTGACAGCATCGAACGTCCTCGTAGCGGAAATTCATCCGCGCGGCTCAGAGAGATGCCTGCGACTATCATACTTAACGATGATCTCGCCGTTTCCGACCTCCCGGAGCAAAATGGCTGCGGAATTTGGGACTGGTCCCGGATCCACAAGCACGGTGGCAAGACTTTCCTGGATCTAACAGGATTGACGTGCACGCTTCCGGAATCGAAGCTCCTTCAAGGCGACTTACTGACGGAACAACATCCTCCGGTGCAGTCGATCTCCTCTCTAGACTCAGATGCTAATGCATTGCCGCTTATGATTGGCGAGGATGCACACGACAGTGACCCGGGAGGATATTATGTGGAGACGGGAATGCCTCAGGAGCCTCCGCGGAATCTGAAAGGTGGGGGAAAACGCAAGGCGTCGCTTCACAATGCTGTCAATGATGTACTTGTTGAGACTGGTTCCACCAACCACCTCGAATTGACTCGAACGTTCAATCAGAAGTACAGGCCGAAGAATTTCAATGAGATTGTTGGTCAAAATGTGGTGGTGAAATCCCTGTCAACTGCGGTAGCGAAAAGGAAAGCGGCACCGGTGTATATGTTCATGGGCCCTCGGGGTACGGGGAAGACCTCCGCTGCGAGAGTTTTCGCAGCAGGGCTGAATTGCTTGTCGCCGGATTATGCGAGGCGACCATGTGGGATTTGTCGAGAATGTGGGACAATTGCGCTCAACCGGAGCGCGGACGTGCGACAGATCGACGCAGCCTCGAATATGGACATGGCGAGCATGCGAGCTTTGATGGGGAGCTTCACGCCACATGCGCAGTACAAAATCTTCATCGTGGAAGGGTGTGATTTGTTGAGCTCTGATATTTGGAATGCATTTCTCAAGCTGTTGGAAGAGCCGCCTCGCAATGTGGTCTTCATTCTCATCACCACTCACGCAGAGCGCATCCCGCCGACCGCCATATCCCGGTGTCAGAAGTTCCAATTTTTCAAACTGAAGGAACCTGACATTGTGAAACGACTGCAGTTCCTGGCAGCCAAAGAGGATTTGCGCGTCGAGGCGGACGCATTGGCGCTAATTGCAACGAGATCAGATGGGTCGCTTCGTGACGCCGAAATCTTTCTTGACCAGCTCTGTCTTTTGGACAAGAACGTTTCAATCGCTTCAGTTAGAGAGCTTGTACGCTATCCTGCAACCTTCATTCTTTTTCTGTAATTCTTCCTTTGAGACCTTGTGGTGAACATTCTTCATTGTTCCAATTTCAGAATTGAGCGCTAATGCTTGATTGTTATCTGCATTCGGAATTCATTAGGTGGGCTTGCTTCCGGACAACAAGACTTTGGAACTGTTGGACTATGCTCTTTCGGCCGATACTGTGCGCACTGTTCGGACAATTCGAGAAGTGCTCATTTCTGGCATTGAGCCTTTGACGGTGGTGTCGCAGCTAGGTTCTCTGATCACTGATATTCTCGCTGGTAGTTTTGACGTCCACCGTGGAGCACGGAAGGAGGGATTCTTCAGTCGAAGTTTCTGTGCGTGTTCTTCGTGAGCTTTGTCTTTGCCACTTCGTCTCATGCACTACACTGATAATAGTCTTGTCTACATCTCAGTTCTTATTAGCTGGGATCTCTCACTTTGCAGCTGTTCAGGGAGAACATCACGGGCTCCGGAGAGCGCTCAAAATTCTCTCGAAATCAGAAAAGCAGTTGCGCGTGTCCACGGATCCGGCGACGTGGCTGACTGCTGCGCTTCTACAATTTGCTCCAGATCGATCGCTTCCTCCTTCCGACTTCAACATGAATGTAGCTCCAAATCGCGTTGTAACCGCATCATCTTCCGATGTCTCTGTCTCAGGGGAGCAGCATCCACTTGTAGACGAACTAAATCAGGCCAATTCTCCAGAGTCTACCTCAAAAGGGCGAGCGCTACAAGTGTACGTAGAAAATGGGAAGGACCCCACTTTAGAAGTGGAGACTGCGACGTCGTTGTCTGAGCAGAAATTGGAGGAAACGTGGGCCACTGTACAGCGGACTTCTCTGGGCAGTGTTGAAGAGCTTACAGAAGCCAGACCTTCACCCGAGGCTTTCCTGGAGTATCAGATATTTGGAGACAAAGAGTTGGATGAGCTGTGGAAGCGAGCTATTCGAAAGATAACAAATAGGAGTTTGAAACATCTTCTTCAGATCCATGGGCAACTAGTGGCAGCTGGCATCTCCGTTGGTAGGCATTCATTCATTCTGTGTTCTCGAGTGTCATGTGGATCTTGTTTTTGTGGGATTAATTCTGTGATGTTTGGGATTTTGATACGAGAGTTTGCCTCTTGATTATGATGTCGTATTTGGCACATATGCGCCGCGATGATTTCAGATGGATCACGCGCTGTTGTTCAACTGGATTTCGACCATGGACGTAACAAGCACAAAGCCGAGCGGTCATGGCGGAGCATTTGCATTGCATTCCAAGAACTGCTCAACAACACTCCTGTCGAGCTCAGAATCGCCTTGAGGGAAGTTGTGCCCGAGGACCCCGACGTTCCACGCATTGGCGAGATGATGGTTGACATGGAGTTTGGTCCATCAACTCAGCTTAAGGACAAGGGGATTGTGAACGAAAGCACGAATGCGGACGTCTACTTGCAAGATGAGCAGAGAATGCCGCAACGGAGCCGTCGAAGACGACATGCCAGAGCCCGAAAGCACCGTTGCGATGCGGAGATCATGGACACGGAGCTAGGGGCTGCGGAAGAGAGTTCGGAGTCAAACGGCATCACTTCTCGCCGGCTTCCACCAAGATGGAGACGGAGGGTGAAGCGGGTTGGCGCTGCCAAACATGCACAGCAAGTCAGTCTGGACATAGGAATGGATTATCAGCAAAGCTCCAGCAGTTTCGGTGGCGAGGTGTGGGATTCCAGGAGAGGATCGATTGAAACCAAATCGAATGAAAAGAAGCCGTTGAGTTGCATGATGGAGGAGCCTCAAAGTGAGATCGAGGACCTCCAAATGGCCAGGCAAAAAATCTTGAAGCAGCGAGCGGCGCAGTATCGGAACAATCCTGCCTTGATGGCAACCATTGATCACAGAAACAGCTTGTAAGAACACAAATTCTTTCCGGCTTCAACTTTCATACAAGAGGGCATGTTAGGAATACTTTGAGAATCTTTGCATGAGGTCAGGTTTTTGCTCACGTCATGTACTGTGTGTCTGGAAACAGGATTTCGGGATTTCAGCGTGGACTTCCAAGTGAAAGCTCCCTTTGCTGGGAAAGGGAGACATCCCAATCGGACTTTTTAATGGTGCGTCCTTAGTCTCAAGCTCTTCAGGACAATTTGGTGATGTTGGGAACCCCAGACGTCTTCCTGATGTATTTTGTGAGGCATTTCTAATTAGTCTGGGTTGTGGTCGATCAGCGGAAGACATGGTTGAGGAGCATGCACAAGGCTTCAGGGGCTGCACTGTTTCTCAAAATGGTACCTTGTAGAGACTCCAGAATAGGAAGGAATGCAACGCCAACTTCAACAACGCCTGTTTCTGTCGCCTAAGTTGCTGCTGTTTCTTCATATTTCAGACAATTTATCGGTCTTCTGCACCAATAGAATCGCTGCTTTAGCGGTTGTCCACGACTTGACAGCGAGAGAGGAGTCAACTGGGCGTCGCAAAGCTCATCCGACCAATTGAATTGCTCCGATTCGTGGATCGGGAAGAGTGCACAGCATTCAGCTTCCACGTCAATATTGGTGGGTGAAGTCGTATGTATATTAGTAAAACTGGCAGACATAGATCATTCTTAAAGAGCCGATAAAATAAGAGCAGTGGAGCTCGGATTAGTGTAGTTGCAAGTAGGTGGATTATGTAGTAGACCGCAGGGTTGTGTAGTGGAGATATTCTTTTAGAACAAGGCTTCCCATAAGGAGAAACCAATTCCATAGCTAGCTCTAGATTCATCAATGGTAATGAAGAGTGGTCAGAAGATTTTAGCGTTGAGCATCTTCTTCGTTGAATTCTTCAATGTGCAGTCTCACTTGGTATAATGAGTTTTGGCGAATACTTAACTTGCAGAACTATTCAATCATGTGCATCACACTCGTGAGCCCTGCTGCGAACTAATGGATGCAAAACCCTGTACCTCTATTTCATGACATCAACGGTTACTCATTAGCGTTCATGAGCGAACTGAGCAAGTCCACAGATTTCAGAGCCTGGTATTCAAACGTTTTAAGCTTTGCAGCTCTGATTATCAACACAAACAGCAATTCATGCAGATCTGTCAGGGCTGGTGGAGAATGTAAGCAACGGCAAAGGTTCAAGTCAACCTTTTTCAGCACATTTCCCCATGGTTGAAATCCACATAACTACATGCTCTGAAACACAGTTGGACATATCCTCCACACAGATACAGTTCCCTAAGTTAATTTCCGGGTCCATCGCTGTCGTGATCTCAGCATGTTAATCATTTAGTATTCTGATAGTGAGCACATCACTTGATAAGATCGACATGCGGTATGAAACCTAGTAGACTAAGCTCAGTGGTTGCTCATTTAAAAAAAAGTCTCCATTCTAAATCCCCTAAAGTGTTGACCTAGACCTAGCATTCGTGTGAAGGAATCATAAACCTGTTGTCAAAAAACCGAATTCCCACACGGCAACTACATTCATTACGCTGATTGGTTTTTGGTACATGAAGCAAGGCATCGAAATCATTTCCCCTGCTTGATATCAGCTGCTGATCTTGGACGACGAGGCTTCTTGATGGCAGACGGCGTACTACTCTGACCAGCGCTTGCGCTTCGCCGTTGTCGCTTGATGGGCTTCTTGGTTCCAAAAACGGAAGAGAACACCAGAAGAGAAGCGAAAAGAGGAAGGGCAAGTAATGCAGAAGCAAGATACCAGATAAGTTCTTTGGTGGCCCAGCGAGACAGCAATTCATTTTTACGCATGGTCCCCTTGACTGAATCTTGAAGCTGCTCATGAAAAGTCGAAGCCTGCGTCATCACACTCTGATAGTGATCACTCGCATGCTTTACATAAGGTTCAGCCATGATGTTTGCTTTCTCAAAGTGGGGGCTTAGAAAACTAGCTGCCTGCTCCAGATAAGGACGGCTCTCAACTCTCACTGTCTGGACATATGTGTCTACACTCTCCTGTACCTGAGTCACATGGATAGACAAAACACTACGTTTATAAATGTAACAACGTCTGTAGCTTTTGGTCTCCAAAAAAATAAATAAATAAATAAATAAATAACTGTTACATAGTAGCTGTTATTATTTCCTGAACCCGATGATTCCGCTCACTGAGCACATAGTAAATGTTCCACCAGTAATGATGGAAATTAACCGAACCGAATTTCGACTGATGAAATCTAGGACCAACTAGAACGAAGGTCTGAAAGGCTTTGAATCTGACAAGAAAGGCAAGGGAGACGTACGATTAATCCAACTAGTTGCAAGCAATCGGTTGTTCTTCACCCTTGAGGGTAAACAATATAAGCTTCTAAATTGCATGTCACTCTTTTGAAGATGAAGCATCTGATAGATGTTGCATCCAGATCATTCAAAGTTTACAGTGATTCTAACTAGAGCGGAGTGTGCAAATAATTCAAACTCGGTAAGTGAAAAACCATACCTTGGATAGATGGGGTGACAAGTACTTCTTGCCAGCTGCAAGATACTGCAACACTAACTTTTTGATTCTCTGATATTGAGGAACAATTATAGTCTTGGTTTTCTTCCATTGAGAACGCACCACAGGTCGCACATTTTTGTTGAAACTTCGCATGTAGGGCTTGGAGAATTTTCGAAATTGTGCTGCTTTTAAAGTTGCTAGACGCTGGAGACTTTCCATCAGTGGCGCACCATAGATTGCCCAGCTCGAGATCATGTGCGATCGCATCTTAGAAGCCTGAATTGCTAACCAGGGAGGTAACCAGGCATTGGCACTCTGGGCCATCTCACGAGCTTTAGCGGCCAACTCTTTCTGTGCCTTGAGCTTGCCGGATTTGGCAATTCGAAGATCTGACTCTGCTTTCTCCAACTGGATTTTGTATTCCTTGACGACCTCTACGAGTTTCAGCTTCTCGCTGGCCTCAAGCTCAAACGAATCTGCTTTGGCTTCGGCGAGCTCGGCACGCTTCACGATGGCAGAGTATTCTGCCTTGATGCGTACGAGTTCTTGCTCTAGTTGAGATACCTGGAGATTAAAGTCAGAAATCGTTTTCTTCGCCTCCGCGAGCTCTGCCTCCAAGTCGACAATGGCTGCACTTTTTTCGTTCTGAGATCGTTGAAGCTCCTTCTCTAATGTACGAATCTTCTTGTCTTTCCTCTTCAAGGAAGCTGCGTGGGTCTTCGAGGCCGTTGTTAGTTCCTCTATCTGTGTTCTAAGCTCTACAATCTGATTTGTCAACAAGTATTTAGTGTCGAGCTCTTCCCGACTTGGCAAACCGTCATTATCTGCCTTTACTGAGATCATAACCAGACAACTGAGTAGCAAAGCTACAAACAGCACCCAGCTTCGCAATGCCATCTTAGTCATCAAGAAACTACATACACCGAAAACAACTTGAACTATATCCTCCGATGTAAGCCCTACTAGCTGAAACCTTGAACCTTAAACTCTTCTCTTCACCCTGCAAAACCGACAATCGAGTTTCGTAAAATTAAATTAAAAGTGATACAAATTAACCGAACTCTATGCCAGAAGCCAAGCGATAGAGGATGATATACGAAGAGAAAAACAATCAAGACGAGATACTTCACAATGCGCAGCGGTAATGACAGTCCAAAGAGGACCTAAAAAACAATTTTGGATGCAAAGACTTGAAATTCAAAAGAATTCTGATTCCTCTTTAGAAAGAAAAACAAAAAGAACCTACGTCAAAGCCTCAAAATCGTCAATAACCACATAAGACACTAATCCAAGAAGAAAAAGCTCTGGAAACAAACTTCTCATCACATTCCGCTGCAAAAAAATCTTCTCACCAGGAAAACAACCACGACAGCGATGCCGCACAAACAAACCTCCTCAACCCGCCATCTGCTTCTTTGCTACTCGATACTTCCTAAACTTCTCAACCTCTTCACCTCACAGATACCAGATCGCTGCCAACAAAACCCCACCAATACCTCACACTCATCAGCTATTCCACGGGAATCACTGCTGCTTCCACGTCTGAGAGCTTTGAGGAAAAGACAAACCGATTCGAGAAAACCCCAATCAGGGCATCAGCTGCGACAGCGCAGAAGAATTCTGCGAGCCGAAAATTAGCTCTAAAAAGATTTTGATTCAGCAGGGTGTGGAATCACGGTCCAATGCTGAAGGAAACGGGGCTCCCCGTTCGCCGGGCAGCGTCGACGCGACACCGCAAGATCTAGCCGCTGGTGACGTCCTGGGGGCCTTCTGATCCAATGAGAATTAACCTACGTGGACTGCGAATTGCTCCTACGTGGGCTCCAGTTGTGCGCCACGTCGTCCATTTGAGCTCACCTTTGCACACGACCGAACCCACGGGGTTAGGGCAACCTGGTCTATCACCACTGAAATGACAGGAAGCTGTGATAACTTTCTCACCATTTTTAGAATGAAGTTTGGTTTGCATTTTTCCATGGTGCTCACGAAGATGCAAAGAGAGCTTGTCGGCACTGAAAAAATTTGTAGAAAATGTGTTGTTGTAATTTCATAAAGAACTTTCAAATTCTGAGATTTTCCCATTTTCATTGTGTGCGTATAGTTGTTGGGAGTAAGATGGGTTCATTGCAGGTGAGTAAGAAAATTATGTGTAAAATCAAGTTCGATTTTTTCTATTCATTCAAATTAAAGTATTTATAACTACTATTATACAGACACACACAAGTAGTATATATATATATATATATATATATAGAAAGAGAGAGAGAGAGAGAGAGAGAGAGAGAGAGAGAGAGATTAAATTAGAAATGTAAAGATATATGTGTAATAAAAGAACGATTTACTTTTTAAAATTTTGAAGACAAACAGAAAAGAAGTAATAGGAATTATTCAAGAAGCCCTTTCATTATCTAAAACTTTATTTTTCTTTTGTTTTTATCAAATAGAATCTTGTCTTCAAATTAGAAAAGTTGGTTTTTGAAACATGACAGGAATAACAAGACTTTCACATGGAGATATCAAAAGTTGTTCAGAAATTCATGAACAGGAGATCAACTTCAAGATTTAAAGTTATAATTTTTTATTTTATTACAACGATTATTATCATGATTATGATAAATATCTTTAGGAGCCTAATTAACGAAATTGTGGGTTTGTTCTTCATGAATGATGCATCAAAGCTTCCAAAATCTATTACCTAGTCTTACTTTGGAACTCATAGTTAATAAAAGTCAAACACAACCTGCGAATGATGTACAACTATTCCAAGAGCAAACGAAAAAAAAAATATTTTCCATTGGAATATTATTCAGTACTTCACATTCTCAAAAAAGCATATTATCCAAAGAGAAGATTACTTCTATTTTGAATGCACATAGTCAATTATATGTTCGTGAAAATTATCTAAAACTATAGAATGTGTTTAAAATAGCGGTTCCTTTAACTTAAAAATGCAACATTAATCAAATGACAGGGTTTGAGCAGCCATGAGAGGAAAGAAAAAGGAGTCGAAAACTTTTGTCCAAACTTTAGGTAACTTTAGATTTAAAGTTGAGTGACTTGGTTTACATCCGGATGTCTCAGGGTATCAGAAAGGGTATGAACGGGATACTCGTCTTCTGGTTTGGAAAGGATTGTGAGTGAAGGTGCAGCTGGAGATTTGTTTATTTTGTACTTCTTTTTTCTTTTTTTTTCTTTTTTTTTTTCGTTATTTTTCTCGGGGGTGCGGTGCTTTATGTGGGAGACTGTGAAGAAACGATGTTGATGATGATTTTTAGGGTTTGAAGTGTGAAGCTGTCGGAGTGGCGTTTTCTAGCTTTGATGTGAGTTGTTGCAGTTTGCGGAGTTTTGTCAGCAGGCTCAATTTCGCTGCCGAGCCGGATTGGCAGTGTCTCCGGTATTTCGCGAAGCCATTTTTGGGTAGTTTTCATTTGGCTTCAGCTATGTTGCCTGTTAGCGTCGGGAACTGAGCCCACGGGCTTCCGAGAGGGCGAAGGGGGTGGAAATAACGGAGTGCGTGTTGACCAGGGTCGATACTGTGTTTCGCGCAAGGTGAGAGGGGATTTTGGTTTATAAATTTTATCGTTTACATTTATCGGAGAATGTTTACTTGGACTGTGTTCAAATTTCGGCACGGATAATTGAAATTAAGGCAGAAGGTTTTGGTTGAGGCTTGTGAAGTCAATTAAGATGGAAGGAAATGTCTCGAACGTGAATGGCCTGCTCTTGAGTCGTTTTAGTTGGTTTACGCATTTGGCAAATGATTCAAGTTTGCTCTGTTTGCATTCTTATTCTTTGGGCGGTTTTCTTTTTGAGAGGACGATAATTGAATACTGAGATTTAATGAGCAAGTAGTTCGGTGTGAGGCTGTGGCTACAGGTCTTGCGAGTTCGACGTAAGCTTAGTTTTGTTGATTTGAAGCAAGGAGCGTGCTGACCAAGGATGGCGGATTCTCAATCCTCTCTTACTACTGCTTCTGGCTCAGTTTGGACACGTGAACAAGACAAAGAGTTCGAAAATGCACTTAATACCTATGGCGAGGACACGCCGAATCGATGGGAGGAGATTGCTTCACAGGTGACTGGGAAGGACGCAGCTGAAGTTAAGAGGCACTATGAAATATTGCAAGAAGACATTAATTTAATAGATTCAGGACGGATTGCTCTTCCTAGTTACAGATTTTCGTCCCTCTCGCTATCTGAAGAAGGTGCAGCATCTGACAGTCCAGGTGTGAAAAAGGGTGCATCATTTTCAGCGCAAGTATCAGGACCTAACGTGAACACAAATGGCAATGCAAATGGAAATGGAAATGCTGCGTCGGGTGGGAAGGGCGTGTCATCTAAAACTTCCGATCAGGAGCGGAGAAAGGGCATTCCTTGGTCAGAGGAGGAACACAGGTGGGATTTGTTTTTCTTTCAACCTTTCAATACATTTTACTCGTCCTCTGTTTATGTGACTATCGGCTGTCCCTTTTCACAGAGATTCTAGTGTACGTAATTTTTTCTTCTGATACTGCTTTATGTTGCAAGCATCCTTTCACATAGCGATGACGCTTCTTAGTTTTTAGGCTGCATGTGTTATGAAATGTGTTCTGAGAATAATGTGGAGAAGGACTTCGATCTATTGGATGGAGTCCATGTTCCTGGCACATCTTGAGAAACTTCAGAAACTTGTTGCTCTATTGTACAGGGAAGGGTTGTGGCAGGAATTACTAAGAGTGGTTTATGAGTAACAATAATCATAAAGTACAAGTGTTGTATGACATAATGTAATCAGAACGATTTATGTAACGAGTTAACTAATACGATTACTGAATTCGAGTACTGGTGCTACTATTGAATTAGCTCTTCTGATGTCTTCGTTCCATTTTGAGCATCTTCTGAAAGTTCGTCCTCGTGTTTAGGCCACTTTATACCATGTGAATTGATGGATCCAATTCTGAAAGATGTGATGCAATTGCTTTTTCCTTTGCAGGCTCTTTTTGTTAGGGTTGGCCAAATTTGGGAAGGGTGACTGGCGTAGTATATCTCGAAATTTTGTTATTTCAAGAACTCCCACACAGGTAGCAAGCCACGCTCAGAAATACTTCATTAGGTTAAACTCTATCAACAAAGATAAGCGAAGATCCAGTATCCATGATATCACAAGTGTGAATAATGGAGATGCCGCCCAACAAGGCCAAGGCCCAATCACTGGGCAACCTGGACCTGGCTCTGCTGCAGGACAACCAATTCAAGGGGGGATGCAATCAGGAATATACCCCAGGCAGCAAATGATTGGGCAACCACCGGCTGTTGGTGCTCCCGTCATGCTTCCACCCCCAGGGCACGTCTCGTATGGTTCCAGGGGACATCTACCAAGGCCTGTGATGCCTGGTCAACAGATCGGCATGGCACCCCACATGTCTTATCCAATGTCACAGCCAGGTATGCATCATTGATAAGGCTTTAGTTCAGTGCTCCCAAAATTATGTTAGTGCAGCCCTTGTTGTGAATTGGGATTAAAAACACATAGTGTGCTCATGTTTGTATTTGTACAGCAGTTTGTGGCCCATGAAGCAGAGCACTGGAAGTTGCGGGTTGGTTTGCTGTAGGCAGTTAAGGAAGGCTGCCTTGTAAAATATATTTTTTTCAATTGCAATAAAATCTAGCCAGCAGTTCTTACATCGAAGTAAAGTTTCTTTGGAACTCTTGTATTGGAGACGAAAGATACGACTGAGCAGCAATATGTTAGAGGAACAATTTCATCCGACAGAACAACTCCTAATACCTGATGTATATTCAGCTTTGGTTCATTACCTTCAAAACTTTGTACCAATGTTTCGAGACGCTTGTCTCTGTTTTCCTTTCCTTTTGTTTATTTACCGAGAACTCGAGGTATACGCTTCCAGGGAAAGCAGCTAACACGATATGACACTGCCTTTCGGCATTTTTTGTGTCCTTACATGGACAATTTGTCTTACACGCCGATACCGCTTTCCCCATGTCATTCGACCTTTTCATGCTCAAATATTGCGAATCATGCCACCATGTGAAATCTGGCCATTGGTATCCAGTTGGTTTTTTACTTACCAAAATCAGCCGACAATAGGGGAAAAACATGGTAAAATGTGCTTTTTTTGACACAGCATGAATAATGTTGTCCTTTAAATTTGTTTTAAAAGTGGTTTTCACAAGAATTTAAAAAGTCTTGTCTAATTTAGTTTAAAATGAAAGAACAATTTCAAATGTTACTACTTTCTAGAGCCAATTTTTCTTCACCAAGAGAAAAACCTTCAAAAGCCTTTAGGACCATGACCAATCAAAATGGACTTCTAGATAGGCATAAAGACTCCATGGCTGTGAAGATGCCAACTCTGATTAAAGTTAGAACAAATCTGACCAGTAAAGAATCTACGTAGGATCAACCACATGTCAATGTGGGAATTCAAGATCGCTCTTTTCTTGTTTTGTTTCCTTTTGAATGCATGAATCAACTGCTCCCGTGGATTACCAAAGAATCATCGAGCATACCTTGAACTTCTGGGTTCGAAGTGGCTGGATATTTAGAAAACTGAATCTCACTACGTTTTGTTAACTCATAAAAAATTTCAGTTACAAAAAGGCAGAGTGATCAAAATGACAATTTTCTTGATTGCAATAGCCCTCTATGTTTAAAATCAAGAGCGGACTGCTGGACCCAGTTCTAGGGTGCTAACAGTCCACGCATGAATCAACACCCAAACATGTAGGAGAAGAATGTGTGTAGACATTATACACAATCACAATACAAGAGAAGTGTAGGGAGACGTCAACAACCTGAATGGTATCGCATTGCCTTAAAAAATTTCATAGCCACGATTATCTCAGAAGCGTCGCTGCGGATACAATATTTCGTCCTAGCTATTTCGGTAATGCTCGCTAGGCATTATCTGAATGTATACACAAGTTATCAACAAATATGTGTATTAAGACATTTACTGTGCTGTTTTGATATTGAATTGTTGATAACATTCTAGTTTGTTCCAGAGAGGATTCACCAATACATGAACATGGTCAATTTGTCAGGAGCGAGGTCAGTACGTATTTATAAGTAAGCGTGTTAATGGGTAGGCTTAGTAGCGTGTGTGAAGAATGGCAGTTTGTGTAAGAAAAACCGGATTGCGCTTGTTGGGGACACCGTTGTTGGTTTGAGTGCATATGCTACACGTTTTATCATACTGTATAGCTGGGTTAGTGTCCATTATGCAACTCACTCAATGAAACCAAATAGTGACTCGGAAGTTAAAAGTCATTCTGAAATATATATATATATATATATATATATATATATGATAACAGCCGGGTGTTTACAAAATTTAATCCCAGAGGCAGGATTATGCAGTTCCAAGGCGTCCTATCAATGAATGTCATTTCACCAAATTCTCAATCTAGTTGCCGGGAACGAAGTTGGTGGCGTAAGCCCACGCGTTGTTGGCAACTGGGTCAGCAAGGTGGTCGTTCAAGTTCTCCAGTGGTCCCTTTCCGGTGACAATAGCTTGGACGAAGAAACCGAACATGGAGAACATGGCAAGTCGACCGTTCTTGATCTCCTTCACCTTCAACTCAGCGAAGGTGTCGGGGTCATCAGCCAGACCCAAGGGGTCGAAGGAGCCTCCGGGGTAGATGGGGTCGGTCACATCACCCAAAGGTCCACCGGCAACACGGTAGCCCTCGACGGCTCCCATAAGGATAACCTGGGAGGCCCAGATAGCCAAGATGCTCTGTGCGTGCACAAGGCTGGGATTGCCCAAGTAGTCCAGGCCTCCCTCACTGAAGATCTGGGCTCCGGCCTTGAACCATACGGCCTCACCGAACTTCACACCGCTCTTGGCCAAAAGCTCAGGGGTCACACAACCGAGAGCTCCGAGCATGGCCCAGCGAGCGTGGATAACCTCGAGCTCCCTGTTGCGGGCAAAGGTCTCGGGGTCGGAAGAGAGTCCAGCGGTGTCCCAGCCGTAGTCACCAGCGAACTCACCGTTCAAGTAAGAGGGGGTTTCGCCAGAGAAGGGGCCCAAGTATTTGGGTCGGTCTGCGCCATACCTACATAACCATGCGCGTAACGAGGATAAGGAAATGGTAGTGAGGTCACAACACCACCTCCCTAATACAACATTGTAAGAGTTAAACCATACACCAGTAGACAACACCGTCGTGAAAGGCTCTACAGGCAGTTCGTTCGAATCACAGCATTACAAAGGTCATTATAAACACAAACATCGCAGCAGTCAAACACATTTAAATCAACGATACATCGACGCATCTGCACTAAACTCCAACAAAGAGAATACATACCAGATGCTGTCGCTGGCAGCGGACTTGCTGGCGGACTTCCTCATGGAGACACGGGCCTCGACATTGCCCACCTTGCGGGAGAGCTCGTTCACGGGCTTGAGCAGAGACTGTCCAGCCAAGGCTGTGGAGTGCATAGCGGTAGCAGCGGCCATGGCTGCAGCAGATGTGTCTAGACAAGCAAGGGAAGGCAACGATGAACGTGAACGCAAAGAAACAGCTTGATTAGTAGAGAGAGGAAGAGAGGAGATTATAAGCAAGAGTAGGACTGAGAGCAGCAGTGGCAGATGGCGTAGGCACAGAATCGCAGCCTGGGGTGTGATTGGATAAGGTGAAGCTCCAGTTGGATATCACGGAGACGCTGGATTGAGTTGGGAGTAAGTGGGTCATCCCTCACATCTTGCTGGACCACCACCCACTGCAAAATCCATCGTCGTGGAAATCGGTCCTGACCAATGCTTCTGTGGCTCACTCTTCCTCCGCAGTACACACTTATGTCTCCTCATAAAAACTCAGTCTTCTGCATGTTTCTTTCAGTGTTTAAGGTAGCCAACCCATTGTCAACCACCTCCGATTTTCAACATTAAGGATGGGCTATTTTTGTTAGTCCAGCCACTACGTTTGACATGCATTGATTGGAAATAAGTGGGGGTTGGTTAAAATGATGTTAAACTAGGAGCAATAAATAAAAATCATTGTACTTAGATTGGATATGTGCGAATTATCAATAGGTTGCAATTATTGATTGGTTTGGGTGGAATAATGGTATAATTGGGTGTCACATTTCTCTTGATAGCATTAATAGGTGCCACACATCATGGTTTTGTAAAAATTGGATTCTTGGTTTTGTAACCTACCACCCATTGGAATTAGGTAGATCCATGTGTCCAAAATGGGTTGAAGAAAATCTTCATCTAAAACATTTATATAAATTCCATTTTTAGGCCTAATTATATAAAAACACTTGGAATCCTCTTGACTTCTATTGCCCTACATGGGGATCTTTTTTTTTTTTTTTTTTTTTTCCATTTTTACACCTATTGGATATATGCTGAAATGCTTAAGTTATAAAAATGGGTTGTCTGCCTTCACAGGAAATTGTGAGTCTCTAACAAGAAAACTTCTTAATCCATTTGAGTTATACTCTTGAACTACTCATGACTGGAATCATTTTATATTTCAACTAATTGTGCTCTTGCACTACACCTTGTAGAATGATTGGAAACTCAGTACCATGTTGTCATTATTATTTGTGATGAAAGAGTGTAATTGGATTTTGAAAACCAGCCCCTCTTTGACCTTTTGTCGTGATCAGCTTTGGCTGCTAGTCATGGTATTTGACTAAGCTGAAGAATGACATTGAGATAAAAAAAAAAGAAAAAGAAAAAGAAAAAAAAAAGTTTAGCCATCAAACAAGCTTTAGCTTAGTCAATAATAATGTGTTTACAAAGTCTTGCACCAAAACACTTACACAATGTGATTTTTTCGAGGCCATTATGGAGTCAATTTTACCAATGAGCCTAGATTACTTTAGATTTAAAATCATCTAATATTTTATAAGATAAAATTTTAAATAATAATGTCTGAGATTGATAATAATTAGACATTAAACAATATCATGCTGGAATTTTAATATATATATTTTTTAATGTTTTTCACAACTTATTTACCACATCATAACTTATTGATATTATTTTGAAGGAGTTTAATTTGTTTGCAAAAATCTTAAAAGAACATAGTTGATAGAAGCTCAAAAAAATCAAGCATCAATGCTTTGCATCTATATAATAAGGATGCTTAGCTTTAAGCATAGATGTAAAGAAGTCTTCTTATTGGCCAAAATCAACGAAATTGTTAACTAGCAGAAAGTCTTGTATAACTTGCAAAAAAAACCTTCAATTTACTATTTGTACAACAAATTACTTTACAGCTCTTGCATGCTTAATGGCATGGATTTCCACTAGTTTGAAGAAAGCTGAAGAATGAATTGATTGCAAATTTTAATGAAAATTAGTTTTATTTACTACATTTGCCACATAATCCAGTACAATATTATTGATGCAAAAGTTCCAAACAAAAAAGAGACATCAATAATAAAAATTAATTAAATAAATAAACTTTTAGATTTGTTGGAATATAGGAGAATTTTTTCAAGTTTGCAATTATGCAAAGAAATATTCCAAATCATCCAAGCATACTATTTATAATATTACAATTTAATAAAATTTAATATTTTTAAAATTGATATTTTTTTGTAGTTCAAACATGTAAATGATGCTCTTTATAATCACATAGAAATCATGATTGACTAACTATTCTAAATATAACTTATATGGTTTTAAAAAATTAAAAATTCCAAAAATATATATTCCATAATTCACATAATTATAAAATATTGGCTAAAAAGCAATTGTATATTTTAGTATCTATGAGTTTGTTGATTTATCAACAATCTTAGCATATAGTGCAAATATTTGTAGTGCTTGTAAAAAATAAAAGTACTGAAATTTCTCTACTCACAGTAAAGATTGTAAAAAAGATAATGACATTAACGCTAGAAAAGTACCACTCCAATAAGAAGAACCAATCCAATAAAATTATGCTTCTGCTCGATCCAAGAACTAGAAATTCTTACAAAGATTTAATTGAACAAAAAAGCATATTGCAATCAAACTATGACTACATATAATGTAGGTAACTTTGGAACAAGAGTGATATAACTTTGATATCTTTAAAATTGCAAAATAAGATAAAGCTAACCAATCTATTCATTAATCAAACAATTGATAAATTACATTAATAATAAATAAGTTAAGCAATCAATAAATCGATAAATTGATACATCTATGTGGCAAGATAGATTGATCATTAATTGGGTTGTGATCATACTTAATTCTTTAGTACACCAAAAGTGATCAATTACCCAAGGTACTACCTTTTTTGTTGTGACCTAATTCAGTGGTCTGGTTACATGAAGCATTCCTAGAATACTATGATTGTTTCTATCTGCATGCAATCCACTGCATGTGGCCACAACACAAAAAGCTGACATGACAGTTTCATCGCGTGAGCAGTCACAGTGGGAGTCAGGGAGCTGAAGAAAGTGAATATTATATTCTGAACAGGAAGATTTATGGCTGTCATAGACTTTCATCAGAGCGTAAATGTCTGGAATGCAGCGAGTCATTCCTAAGTTCTAAATGCAAAGTAATGCACATACTGCAGCTGCTGGAGGGATTTCGGACTCACAGTGAATTGGAGAACGACGCAGGATAGAATAGGATAGAGACCTCCAAGGCCTCGTGTTAATTTCTATAATTAACGTGGTGGTGAAGGTGACGTTTAAGCTGAGTCATCCAACGTGGAAATATTCATAGCAAACCAAAATGATCACCTCTGCAGAAATATTGCTCTCCACTCAGTACGCAATAGCAATCAACGTGGGTCGCATTGGCACATATTGCTGCAGGGTCATAACGTACAAGAGCTGATCTTCGCTTTATATCGAGGTTATGCTAGGTATCACTGGAAATCATGAGAAACAAAAGTGGAAGAAGATACCAGTTTGCTCAGTTGAATTCTGGTTGGTATAACAGCAAAAAGCAAAGTGGTGTCAAGCTCAAGGATGGTGGTCTATCAAGTGGTTTTTTCATTGAATTTGCAGTGATGACCAGGAATGAAAGAGTTCACTTCAAACCCACTGATAACTAGTAATCATATGTAATTAAAAAAATTGTTTGAGAGAGGAGTCTTCGTCAGGGCCAAGGTTGTCAACAGGAGGACGCTGAAGATGGTGACTAGTAACCGCCTGATAGGCCATTGCCAGAGCTAATACCTGTTGCCACAACAAACCAAACTGTTAAGCCTCATTTTTGTATCCCCGGCTACAACGATGCTTTCTGCTGAAGAGAACGAGTAGCGTCCTTATGAAGAAAATAGAGAATATAAAAATACTAGCCAGGTTCTGTTCTGAAGAGATGTGCACACCGTTCCATCCTGATAAGGAGCAGCGTAAATGCCAGTTTGGACAGTAGTACATCGCCGAGTACCATTGATCTTCTTAAAGCCAGTAGGGATCACAATCACTGGCATACCCACGAGATTGCCCACACAGACTCTCTCCCAATCTGTAGAATTCCCAATAAATGCATCTACTTTCTGACTCTCGATGACGTGCCTCACTTCCGTGGCCAATAACCCACGAGCTCGTTGTGCCTGCTTGTTCCAAACAGCAATAGTCGCATAATGGTCAGCATGCACACATTTTATGTACTTCTACAGAACTGCTGACCTCTGCATGTATTGTGCCTGCTCAAATAAATAAATTACATCATATCAACGTAACTAAACTTGCAATCTAACTCTAAATTTAACGAGTGCAGATTTTCCAGAGATGTAACTTGAACATAGTCCACAGCTGAAATCAGGCGTGCACGCCGCAGCTCAACCGGCCAAGCAGTCTGATCCTCGTATCCAACATCTAGACCTGCTCGTTGCCAATTGTCGAAATGTGACAATACGTCTACGCCCATTGTAACGTTCATTATGAACTCTGCTGAGGGTACAGTATAGTTCAGCTTGAACGGTACCATCTTGACCTTTAGGCCTGCCAAAGCTTTCACCACCTTCATGTTGTAACAACACGAACCCAAGTTCAGTTACATATGAAAACTCAAGCTGCTTACTCAAACTGCAACTATAGTCCGTGATATTCCTGAGCCCTCCAATCATAATTTTAAAAACACTGAATTTTCAATACATTATGACCATAACCCAAACTTTTAAGACCAGAAAATCTTGCTAGTTGCAACAGAGGTCAACAGTCAAGGGATTTACCCCCATATCTGCATCCGGGAGGTACCCCACCGTCAGTTTGGTGATATCAACAGAGAACGGGTCTTCCAGATGAATATTCTTTGATGACCAGTCCCTTGGATCTTTGCCCCTGATTGCATCCAGCACTAAAGCGCAATCGGCTGCATATCGGCAGAGGGGGCCGACTTTATCCTGTGACAATTGAGACAAGGCTAAACATGTCATGTCTCGGGTTTGGAAATTAAATCTACAACAAATTAAACAACGACAACAGTTCAGTAATGCAAGTACCAGGCTCTCCGATAAGCTCATAGCCCACGACCTTCCCACCATCCCGAATGTAGGGCGCAACCCAGTGATGCCCGTGCGAGAAGATGGAAGCGTGATAGATCCTACTGTCTCGGTCCCAATTGCAAAAGGAACGTTTCCTGTAACAATCAACAGATCCATACTCTATTAAGTGAAAATTACCCTACGAGTAACATGGTCAGCCATTTCAGCATGATTATGATATTTAGAATCGCCATATGCGATGCAGCTCGTATGGGCGTCGCAACATTTTGACCTTGCACAGACCTGCGCATGTGCTAGCAGCTGGCCCTGCAGAAGATCCAGTGCTGCCTTCATAAATATTCCATGGATTCTTTGTTTGGCCTCCGAACCAGACATCATCCCAGGCCAACGACCCCGCAGCAAGCTTCGCTATCAATACTGCACCAGCCGCTTTCAGCCTACCATGCACAGGAGTACTGGTATCAACAACAGGCTACGGTAGTAACTTCATCAATTAAGTTCTGAGCTTGTAAAAGCAATTACACACTGATTCGAACGAAAGTGCGATAGAAAAGAGATCTCGACTGCAAGATATCTTCTCAATCAATGTTAAGCTTACTTACTTCTGGTACACCCAACTTTCCTTGTTGATTACTTGATTCTTGAAAAGATTAGAACCCCATGTGGTTCTGTAGCCAGGAACAGCAAAGAGGTCCTTCAGCCCATATGGTATTCCGTGCAATGGTCCTGTAAACAGTTCAAAATTATATATACACGTTACAGCTTTAGACCAGCAACAGCAATCAAAGAACGGTAAAGAAGTAAAGTGACGCCTGTCTGATAATTCGCCATCAAATGCACGGGACTTCTTAGATGGGATAAAGACAGATCACCTAAATAAACCCCTTTGGTGAGTAGTCTATCAGCTGCAACAGCTTGTTCAAGGGCAAGCTCCTCCGTAAAGGTCACCACTGCTTTCAAGACATAATCCACCCTGCAGAAGAAAACCAAAAGATTATTCGCAATTGAGATGACATTTCGATCAGTCCATTGAGGAGAAAACTATGATAAAACCTATTGTTTATTCTCAGTACATGTAAGAAAATAATCTGGAGGAAAATCTAACTGCGACACCAATAATGCAGCTGGTGGATTTAAGGGCACATGCCATAAACAAGTAATTGTCTTTACTTCTTCAGTCGTGCAATGTAAAGCTTTACAAGCTCCACCGATGTAACTTTTTTTGATTTAATCAAAGAACCCAGTTGAAGCACCTGTAGTGTAAATCAGCAGATTAGCGCCCAATCTCATCATATAGCGGCTGTGACAACACACTTAACATATGTCATCGATCCAGGGGCCTTGGATGAACTGGCTGTTTGCACAAGCATACTTTCAAATATTACCAAAACCATAACATCTTGCAGCATCTTACACTCATGAAAGCGAGGTCTTCATCGCTCTTGGGACGCTGCACATCCTCCAGGGCTGGGTACTTGAATTTTTCATCTGGCTTGCTCGTCTCTTCTCTGCTAAAATCTGAATCAAACACGAGTGGCACATGATGCCTCAGACCCCCATTAGAGGTGGCCACCAACTCTCTAATGGCATTAAACCCTGGAATATTTAGTGTTTTGACGCCAATCGCCATCTCCTCGAGCTGCAATGTAGGTCGGTAAACAACAAAATCACAAGTAAGGAAATAGGTGAGGTAGGCATATTCAGCAACTACTTGGATAAAAGGTTACGTGTTTTTTCCAAGTAGAAGTACGTACCTGGTCTTCATCGAAAAAATCGGCACCAATAGCTTGGGTGGCGAGACGAATTGTTGTGGCATTGATTGAAACAACAGATCCATTCACCTTCTGAAAATCTGTGCCGCCCAGCATGTTGTCAACTATGTGTACAACCCCATTTCCAGCTAAAATGTCCGCAGTAGACACGAAAGCACTACCAATGTAAGTCCTGGTTTCAGTCTTGTGTACCTGCAATTTCACAAATGAATGTACCCTAATCTGGAGATGAGAGGGAAGTGTGTAGAGATGAAATTACGCTCTAAGAGCTCAAAGGAAATCATCTGAACCGCCCCAAGGCAAAGTTCAAGCGAGGTTCTTGAAATAGATTCAGAACAAGACATGATTTGATGTTACCTCCTTCACTAAGCTGCCAGGGAAATGAAGCATCTCTCCATCATTTAAGTCTTCTGCCCGGAATAACCCCTTGACCACTATGCCACCACAACCAACGTGATCAAATTACTGCTAATACTGTCTTAACATCTGTACAACTAGAAGAGTGATGTTATTAACAATAGGAGTAGATATGACTTATAGAACACTTCAGAAAAGAAAATAGAGGGTATTATGTTTATCTTTCAAAGAGGGCATGTCAAGTGGACTGTACATGCCCCGAAAGAGACTTACTAGAATTCAGGAGAATAGTTTGCAGATTTGCAGAGGACAGAAGATCAGTGATAGAGGTGCAAAACTTTGCTTCAAGATCATCATTCACGCATATCAAGCAACGGTTCTTAAGAGCTTTCTCAACAGCTTTGTTACTTGGTGCAAAAACTGTGAATGATTTGTTTCTTTGGCCCAACGTCTTCTTGAGCTCTGCCTTCCCAAGAGCTGAGTTGAAAATAGACTGCTCATGCCATGTTTCAAATGTAATAGATTCTAAGAATTTGAAGAGATGATGGAACCCTAATCACCCAACAAAGGCCATGGCGGTTTTTATCTTTCTCCTAAACGAAAGCAGTGAAATACTGAAATTTAGACAACATTCTGGCAATGTTAGATGACAATTGTCCACGTACCCTGACCTGAGGAATTGCAATAGACAGTACTTTTTTCGAAAAATAAATGATCAGAAAGACTAGTCCTTTTTCATCAAGGTCTGACAGGGCACTACCAGCTCAGGTCTGGAGGCCACAAGGGAGGCAACGTCATTGTAATAAATGACCGGTTGCCCACCAGTTTCTGAAGCTCCAGCTGCAACGCCGCCACCACCACAAACCACGATCACAAGCAGGACTGCCACCCGCGTAACCGAGCTTCTGCTCAGACAACACAGCATTGTACCCTTGACTTCTCTGTCTTCCTCTCGGGAACAACCGATTCGGATCCCACCTTTGACTCTCGTCTGCGAAAGTAGCGCTTGTGGGCACTGCACACAACGCCGCAATGTCTTCACTTGACCTGGAACTCACAATCTCGATCAAAGCTACCGACACCCACAATTGGGCAACTCACGAAAAAACATCGGCTAAAGTAGACAACACCAAACAGACAATCCCAAGCTCCCTGGTTTCGTCCAGTGACTGGAATGAAGAGGTGTGGACAAGAGGGATGCGGCGGATGTGAGATCCCACTAGTTAGAAAAGAGCGTTGACAACAACAACCTCTGGATTCCCATGCCGAGGCTTTATTATTCCTTCTCTTGCGGCATCTCAGCACTCACTCACTCACTCACAGCTGAGGATGGATCCATCCTCACACACTCTCCGAGACGACAACGACGACGACGCTCATCAGCAAGCACACATCCAATAAACGTGCCTAATGTCGGCGCGGTTTCGCAGCTTGTCACGACCCGAAACCTGCACCACCAATCCCCTAATAACTTGTTTATACTTTCTGTGGCAGCTCGTCTGACAAGCTCTTTTTAGCTTTGTCGTTGTTGCATTGCGAAGTTCACGTGCAATAACACACATATATGGAGATGATCCCACGCACCAAGCAACCTCTTTCAGAGTTGCAAATCAAATCAAGGTCACACAGAACGATACCTTTGGTAAATGGTTGTGATGGTGGAAAATGCTTGTTGTCACAAGTTTAGAAGGAGCACTGTAGGGGTTTCTATGTGAATATATATTTATATATACATACATATAGAAATAAAAGTTTTTATGTGCTTGGTATAAACATTATATCAGGTTTTTCACTTGGTTAAGAAAGAAATTCTTACAAAAACGGAGAAGAAGGCATGAAATGTATCAAGCAATTTTCTTACTACAAGTCTAAATGCAACATGAATTTGTGACAATTTTTATTTTATTTTATTTTAAGATCATTAAAATCATGTGTATCTTAATTTTAAGATTTAATAGTGTATTAGAAAAACAATCATTTTGTTTATTATCCATTATAAAAATAAATAAATAAAAAACTTACATTGTTATGAAATAGGATTTAAATAATAGAACTTTGCAACAAATAAGTTTTATAACTTTGTATGCAAACACATTGGTTTATGTGCATGGATATACTTTAAGTCTTGATGAACAATAAGTTATGCCTATAAAGGGGTTATCCAATTGTTCTATTAATAAAACACAACATGACATAATAATATAAATACTTATCTTTGGACAAAAAATTAGTAAATTATGACAATGATATAATATGTTAAATCTACTAAGATAGTCAAATAGCTATTTTAAAACAAACAAAGAAAATAAAATTATGTTATTTTAATTTTAATTTTTGTAATAATTATTTTGATTTATGCTTTAAAACTTAAATATCTTTATATCTTTTTCTATTTATGTATAATATATATAGTATTTAAATAAATTTGATTTGTAATTTAAAATTTAAAATTTATTATAAAAATCCAATTAAAGACACAATTAATAAGAAAATTTGGAAGCTCAAATTTTAAATTGATTTAAATATATTGTACAACCATATTCTTTAATTATCAAAAAATATGCATATTTTAATCGATTTTGTAAAATACAAAATCTTTACTTCAAAAGATTGATTGGCCTTAAAATTCTATTACTTATTGAAGCCAATTTGTTTAATGTTTGTTCTCACCTATGTCAATCCATTTGCATTTTTGAGTTGGATTGTATTAAACAGAAGACATAGCTGTGACATATAAATTTGATAATAAATATACAATGTATGAGTACATTGTTACAAAAAAATAAAAATAAAAATAATAATACCTTTAAATTTGAAACTACAGGATTTTTTTTCTCTAAAAATGCATATAAACAACTCAATTTTATTTGTTAATCCAAAGAGCCTAAAGAAGCTTGATTTGAATAAAAAAATGCCAAAATTATTTATTGATCCTTCATAATATATTTAACAATTATTTTTGTCATGATCAATTTTTTTTAACACCATCTTTTAATATCCAATATAAATATCAATTATATAACTTTCTCTATGAGTTCAAAGGACATTATCTGTATGTTTATTATTAAGCTATTAAGCAAACAAAGTCTTCTTTTACATTGAAAAATTATTGGCATTGTAAAGATTTCATGGTAGATTACGTTTGCACAGAAAAATCTCTTACATATACATGCAAAAGTCCTCGTGAAATGCATACAATCTTGAATTCATGTCTATGAATTTATTTTTTAAAGTGCACTCAACACACGGGCAAATTAAAACTTTCATTAGTTTCCTTAGGATTATCTTTGTTTTAAATTTTTAATACATATTATTTTATTAAACTAAATATAGTGATAAAATTTCATCATGTCAATAGCCACTCGATAGTGTGCTATACAAATATAAGGATTGGCAAAATTTTAGTCATGATTGTTAATTCCTATTGATGCATTTTAATTTTAAATACATAAAAAATATATCTTTTATCTTTGAAATAAGCTTATTTTATGAAACAAGAAAAAGAAAAAGAAAAAGAAATAGTATTGTGAAAATTGTTCATTTAAGTCCTTGCAATAACATCTCTATTACACCTAATAAAATTTGACAGGATTTATTTTATTATTTTTAGATATAATAAAATTTTAAATTTAAAGAAAAAAATCACTTTCTCTCCTATTTAAAAAAAAAAAAAATCTAAATGCTTAGTAACTATTTACACAACAAAGTAAAGTACTTAAAATGATAATAATAGATAAACATAGCAAACTTTTTTTAAAAATAAGATAAAGTTTCAGTTATGATTGTTAAGTAATAATAAAATGCATACATATACTATTGTCAAAAAAAATTAAAATTAAAAATTTTAATTTTTTTCTTCTATATTTTGTAATTTTTCACCATCTAATAAGAAATATTAACAAACTTTAAAATATAATTATAAGATAAAAATTTAGAATGCAAATAAAATCTTTTAAAATGCAAATATTACAAATTTTAGAATGCAATATGCAAATATGTATGCAATACATTTGTGACATGCAAATAATACAAATTTTTACACTTTGCAATTCTTATAAATTATGTACAATAACTATATACATGACATTATTTTATTGTAAAATTTGAAGCCTTTTAGCAAAAATATAATTGTATTCAAAGTGTGTAGTTGTTTCAAAATGTAATTGATTGAAGTTAAATAAATTAATAATTGATTTACATACATATAATGAACACATTTATAAACTTGTCTAAGACATTTTGTTAAGAAATAAATATCCAAATCATTATATTAAGAAACTACCTACAATCAAACCTCATAATCATTGAAGAATGAATTTGCAATGGAGCTTGAAGAAAGTTGAGAAAACAAAAGGCTTGTCATTAATAGCCACACTCACACGTTCAAATTTCAAATCCTTGAGAAACTCTTACTTGAATGTGAATTGCTTTGAGGGACATTGTTTTCGACGTGCATTCCTAAGTTAATTTGAAAAAAAGTATGTCTTTCTCAAATTTCTACAGGCATATATTTGTTGCATTATTTACAACAAAAGGATTTGATTCAGGTGCACCATCCCAATGGCAGTTGATATAGTCGCCATTGCAATTAATGTAGGTTGAAAAAACTTCAAAAAATCCAACGTCGAAATTTACATTTAATACAGTGTGCGTCTCAATAACATGAACATGCTTCTACAACGCCACGACAGTCGGTAACTTCCGCAACCTGTACCATCCGCTGTCTTACAAAAGGAAAATGTAGAGATTTGCCACCTTCAATGCAGCTTACATGTCTACGTTAATGTCAACTATGATGCAGAGTCGGTGAGCTGATTCTGAAGAAAGGTCATCACTGACAATCGCTGCAAATTGCAAAACGTAAAATATTAAAATGGGTAGTCAATAAGAGTCACTGAAGTAGTCACACGATGGTCCCCTGTTGACTGTAGACATTATGATCAACCCGACATGTATTGGCAATAAATAAAGATGTAAATAAACTGAATACACAACTACTAGCAAATAAGTGATATTAGGAAAAAAAAGAAGAAGAAAGAAACACACCTTTTTCTCAAGCGAAGCAGCGTCAGCGGTTTTAGGAGGCAATAGATTTTGGAGCTTTTTAAGAGCGTCTTGAAAGCCCTCTGATGCAGCACTTTCATTGCCCAATGCAACATCCACATCTGCAACTTTAGCTAACGAAACGGCCACATCCAGAACCTAGTGCACAAAAGAAAACAAACAAAAGGTTATTCGCTGCTCAACTAAAACTACACATCTAGTCAGCTTGCAAACTCCCACAAAAGAACCCACTTGAACGTACCATAGAGGATATTATGAATGACTGAACCAGGTCACTCTGAAGAATAGTAAAAAACACATGTGTCAAAACAACAAAATAATCCGGCAATAGAAGCTTATCATAAATGCTAACAAGAGGAGCTCTGAGGTCTTGCCTGTGAAGACAGAGTAGTGAAATCTGAGGTGGCTTCGAGTCGAACATTGAGGGCCCGTGCATAGAAAGCTCGAGCAGCTTTCAATTCTTGCGCGTAATACTTCAGGTCGCCCAGTTTATTCAGTGAGACCGATAGTGCATGCACCACCTGAGCCCAAGTTTCTCACGCTCGACTTAGAATAAATGTCAATCATAGGTATAAACAGCGCTTCATGTCTATTATTCTTAACATTGGAGGGTCTGGAATCCCAATAGAAGATTGTCTAGCATTAACCCTGCCTAACGAAGGACAAAGTTGGCAATACAAAGTAGTTATTAATATAAGTACCTCAATGTCCCTGTCAGGCAGCTTCGTCAGAAGCTCAACACTTTCCTCATAACTTGCAATAGCTCCATCGACATCTTTCATGGCCCCGCTGCACATCCAGCATTGAAATCAGAGTTTTGTTCAACTTTCCAGAAGAAGGAACCAAGGAAATTCGTAGGACATTCACAGTTGCTAGAGCCTACAACGTGTAAATAAATATTTCGTTAATGTGCTTGGATATTTTGAACAGCATACATTTTAGAAAAAACTAGAGACAAAACCAGAAAAGCTAAACTTCGAGAGAGCAAAAAATCAAGCACAGCAATTACCAGCAGTCACCCAGCATTCCAAGTAATGCACCCAATTGAGAGCAATTTGTAGACGTAGCACCAGACCGTGACATCTCCTCACGACTATCCTCTATACATAAACCCAGCCTTGCCTTCGCACTCTCCAAATTATTCCCCTGGAATGCCTGCATACAATAACATTTGCGATTCATACGTTTCTCTAAACAGAAAAAAAGCAATTAATTGCATGTTCTGAAATACTCATCATGAGCTACATAGGTAATCAATCCTAAGCTGAGTAATGATATCAAAAAGAATAAAGAATGAAGACAGAAACAAACCATAATCCTGAAACTGAGAATGAGACCCTCACCCTCATGGCTTGTTGTACTAGGAAACTTCCCCGTTCTACTGAAATATCCTCATACTTGATGTCCCTTCCAGCAGATGCCTCTTCTGCACCAGACTGGACAGTGGGCCTTTTTATTCGTGCATGTCCCTCAATAAAACGATCAACTAACCCTTGCATTTCAGGATCAGACTCAATATTTTCTATGTCAAGCCCGCACAAGGGACAGTCCTGAAAGCGTGATATACATCCTCTGCAACACAGTAAAGAGCAAATTGAATGAAAAATTAGTGAAATGCCTAGCTACAGCAATATACATCTTACAACGTCTCAATACCCGTCTGAAGGGGATCGCTGAGTCATTACTCAGAAGTATGATACAAACACTAACGTCTAAAATGCTGCAAACTCTGAAACTTGCTCACTATCTTTTCAAAGCACCGGGTCTCATATTCATCAACATCATAGTCTGATCAAGCTTAAACAATTTTCAATCTACCCAAAATTGTGCAAAGGCATCATCAAGGTGAGGCATCAAATAAGACGTCATAAGCTTTTTACACTGAAAAAGAAAAGGCAAGAGTTCGTGGAAACACTTACAACCAACGGATCTATCAACTTAAAATATTACAGAAGCATGACAAAATGGGGAAGATGCAGAAAGAAGAAGAGAGAGATATAAGAGCAAAGTAATGCCACAAACCTGCAGAAGATATGACGGCATGGAACACACCGGCTACTATCATGCAGAAGAGCTCGGCATAATACGCAGCTGAAGGGTCCAATTTTAAAAGAGACAGAATCATAACCAAGGGGGCATTTACCCCCAGCTGACGCCTCAGTATTCTCATCTTTCCTTTCCTTTCCCTGTTCATCAACTCCATTTTCATGGCTTTCCTTGCTTCCTTCTGATTTTCCATAGCCAAAGGGACACTGCCCTGATATATTATCGCTCTTCTTTGCTTCAGCATGGGCATCACCTTTCGCCTCACAAACTTCCATCGTTGAAGCTTTCTTGTCGAACCCGAAAGGACATTTGCCTCCACCAGTTTTCTCACCTCCGTTCTTACGTTCGCATTGCTCACCAGCAGTCTCGTCTACAGACTTAGCAGTCACTTCTTCCTTAGGTTTCTCCCCCACCTTGCCTACAGGACATTTTGATCCTTCGCCATTGATGCTTAATATCGCGAAAGGACAGGCCATGTCTACTGTCTCGAGAGAAGCCGCTCTATGAAGTCTTCACAAGTTGGACGCTAAAACCTTGACAATTCGAAACCCCACAGCATAAGAACCTCTATACAATTATCTGGTCTCTAACATCACGTCAATAGAACCATCAATACTGCAGAGGAGCAGCTTCACTATTATTTACTACACGACACCAAGATTCATTTCCCCCTTGTTCGAAATACACTTTAAACCAACGTCGCAAACACACAACCACCACAAGCCCAAATCCGATCTACATGATTTTATCCTTTACTTTAATCTCTCATTTTTTTAAAAAATTCCTTCCATATTGCCAATCTTCAGAAAAAGATTCCCCGCACTTTGCATAACTCAAAAGCCTATAGGCAAATAAATACAAACGGCCCGTTCTAATAACCACCCTATACCTTCCATCACACTCAAAAACGATTGTGACAGACATACTCAAAAAAATGCTTCCCAACATTTCAATTCAATTCCAACAACTTCAATATTCTGTCTCGCAGAAATATTTAAAAAGCAAAATGCTCACAAACTGGCACACAACCAGAGCGAGAAGGAATGTCGTTTACACCAACTGGCAAAGCTAAGCCTTCCGACAGGTTGTACAAAACATTCAAACCGCAAAGCAGTAACTTAAAATTCGACAAGCCCCAGGAAAACACAACTCACAGACTTTCAAGCGAGCAAACAAGCGCACCAAATGCTCCTACGCACAACCAGGGCTAGGCAGTACCCGCACCAATCCAACTGTTTCAAATTCCGGCATCAAACGACTCGCGGACCGCAAAACGACCTGGATTCACTGTCAAGGGAACGAAAACTACGAACACACTACAGATGCGGCGCAAAGTGCATTTGGCGTGAATCGCGAATGACTTCCAAGTCTTCACCTCACCGCAAGATATAAGGAAATCATCACAAGCATCGAAGAGAAAAATTTCAAGGAATTTTGTAAAATAATAATAATAATAACAATAAACAAAAAAAAATCTGCGCACCAGATATTGGGGTTGAGGGGAGACAGACATGTGTGGATAGATAATGAGAGACTGCAAACTCAGTCACAAGTGAGAGACGTCGGTGGGTATGGCGAGAGGAGAGGGGCGAGGGAGACGCTGACGCTGACGCTGACGGGAAGGGGATGGTGAGCCAGCGTCTGACGGCGTCAGTAGTGTGTCGTGTGCATTGTCAGTCAGTGCAGTGAGTGTCTGGAAGCATCTTGACCCGAAGTAGTTGGGCTTCAGTTTCACCCACTCACACCGGAATAGTTAGTCACTTCTTCTTCTTTCACTACTTGCCTTATTTCTCATTCATGGGAATAGTATATTTGGGTGTTATATATATATATATATCCATAGTGGGGAATGTTAAATAGACCCAATTTTTTACTAAATCAACCTACCCATGATGAAGCATAAAATAATCATGATGAATGTGGTTGGTTTTCATTGGTTTTGGATACAATAGTGGAGAATTGAATTTAGAGGTCATTTTATTTATTTATGATAGTTGGGTCAATTTAGTAAAAGTATGAGTCTATTTAACATTCTCCTATACATACATATACATATATATGTAAACATACACACATAATACTAATTTCTTTATAATTCTTCTATAACTTGTTGTAACCTTATAAATCATGAGTGAATGTTGAAATATTTTTTTTAGTTGTAGTAATAGTCATATTAAAAATCATTAATAATTAATTAATTAATTCCAATATTAATTATTTATAGTGTATAAATATAAATGAAGATTATGACATTTTATACATTTTTGCTTTTTATGAAAGTATTTTATATATATATATATATATATATATATATATAAATATTTACTGTAAGATGTTAATTCTTAAGATGAATAAAATTTTACATTTTAATAAAAAATATATATATATTTTAAATATAATACAATAGTTATATAACTTGTTTTATATATATAATTCATAAAAAAATCATGTATTAGTTCAATAATGAGTTAAATAAATACTTACATAAATCATTCAAAATCAAAGAATAGTTTTTTTGCATTTATGTAATACATGATATTTAAACTTTAGTAGATAAAGTATGTACTAAATCACATCATTTGTAATCAAATTATTATAATGTCAAAGTATTTCTTTTATAAAAATTTTTATATATGATTAAAAAACCATGTTAAGCATTTTGTTCTTGACAACACATGTTACGACCATAACCATCAATAATAAAATCTAATATTTTTTTCAAAAAAATAATAAAATAATAAAAAAAAATAGAAGAATTCAAATGGTTTTAGTTATAAGACCATTACTCTTTCTATACTTACTATATTAGTACAAACCTATGCCATTGGTTACAAAAAGGATCAAATTTATACATCATATCCTTATATTTTAAATATACATCAAATAGCTCATGTTATTGGCTACATAAAAAATCAAATATTTAAAATATAAAATATAATTTTATATAATAGTTCTAAAAGATAGCACTACTTTTCACAACCTTGATTGGGAGCTCATGAACTCCATACCCAGTAATCTTGCAATGCTATATTTAGCAATTTGTAGCAATAATATGCAAATTTTGATCTTTGATTGATCAAAAATTAAATTATTACTTCACTTTTTCTTTATTTTTGATAAAATAGTGAGCTATGCAACCAATCAAAGATATTTTTTTGTTTCTTTTAGTTTATTCCATTGGTTTATTCCTTGAGTTGTTTTATATAAAAAAACTAGCTTAATATGTACCATTGTCACAAAAAATTTGACTTAAAAGAAGTATTTTAACTTTAAAAAATTACTCATTTTAGAAATAAGAAAGAAAGAAAAAAAACAAAAAAATAGCTATGCTAATATGCTAGTTGTTAATTTGCTAAAATGTAAATGAATATAAAATTATATAAAATTGCTCATGAATGTCAAATCAAAAGAAAGCATCGATTAAAAGCTCAAATTATCATCTTTCTCAATTTTAATGTCAAATCCTCAGAAAAACCAACTATTGTGTCTTTTTTGATTTCTCTTCTTTGCTTAATGTCTTACCTAGGCACAATAGATCAACATTTCTACAATAAGCGCTTATTGCATTCAACTTCTCATTTATAAAAAAAAAATATCTACAACCATCATACCATCTTACTAGTACAAAGATTTAATAAACTTCTCTAAGATCTCTTGTACTAATTTCTAATTTAGTGCCTCTATTGAGCTCCTCTTCCATATTCACTAAATCTTATTATGCTAGATTTTAACAATCACAAATTATGACCATAAATCTATTATAATTTAACTTTAGTTGACTCCAATTGATCTTGAGAAAAATAATGGTGAGTACAAAGCTATATTCACAAATTGTCACTATTCTTCAACCAAAACAACAGCAAATACATCTTTTCTAATACAATTCTTGATTATTCAAATTCTAAATCTTAAATGTACTTTGCAACAGAATACTTTTGCAACTTGTAATCAGATAAAAATCAAAAGAAAGTGGTGTGACTTTCACATTACCTCAAAATACTTGGTGCAAGCACTTTTTATAATATGTAGGAACTACATAGGACTTGATAAAAGAAATATGTAGGAAAAAATAGATTTAGCTATAATCCATATGTTTAGAATAAACTTGAGAGATATATGGCTTTACACAATAATTCTTTATAAATACAAAGTTAATGATAAAACTTATAAAACAAAGTAGAACTAGATAACTATACAAATCAATATTAAAACCATGAAATTATTGCAAGACATAAAAAATAAATCAAAAGATCCAACCTATTGTGATTAAATATTAAGCAATCGAGTGATTAAATGCAAAGTCATCAAATAATTTATACCAAAAACTTCTATTATACAAGTTGAAAATAAAATCCATAATGTTCAAAGTGTCATTCAAATCCACAAATTTTTATTCTTCAATAGTGTTCAAATGACAAAAGTCATAAAAGATCAAGGCATTGGTGTGATAAATGGGATGAAGAATCTTAAGATGAGTAATTGAAATTGAAAGTAGCAAAGCCTATGAGTTCTCTCGATTTCGATTAACAAATATAATAGCAATTATATTATCTTCTATAAATTGTTCTCAAAATTCTTTGTATATGAAAGTTACAATTTAAGGTTAAAGGTTTATAAAAAATAAATATCAAATAAAAAAATATTAAATAATATCAAGTAATGAAAAGCAAAATTTTTGTAAAATTGCAAGCAATTTAGTAAGCAATATTGTATTACATGTAGTTTGACTTGAGAATGTATCGAGCACTTAATTGTGGAAGATAAAAGGAAAATTGTAACAACAAGTCCTAACAACTCTAATAGATTTTTAAATAAATTATAATTAAAGATTAATAAATATAATCAAACATCAATCAAATTTAATTAAAATTTCAAAAGAATTATACAAGAAACACAAAAAATTCTTAAAGATCCTTTAAAGAAATTATAAAGAAATAATATAGAAATTCAAAAAATATATATACTAAAATAGAAATCTTAATAAAAAATTAAAATAAAAAATCTTAATTAAATCTTAATCAAAACTTAATCAAACCTTGGTCAAATCTTAATCAACTCTTAAAAAATTCTAATCAAATCCTAAATAAATCCTATTCAAATCCTAGACAAACTTGAGTTAACCCTAATCAAATCCTAATCAAATCCTAATCAAATCTTAAACAAATCTTAACCAAACTCTAATCAAATCCTAAACAAACCTAATCAAATCCTAACCTAAATCAAACTCTAATCCAAATTAAACCTTAAATCAAATCTAAAACCCTAATTCTAACCTTAAACCAAATCTTAATAATTAAGTTGACAATAAATACAAATTTTTTTGAAGAAGATTGAACTCACTAAAAAGAAGATCAATCCTAAAATCTGCTGAAGTATCAACTATCCTCCTACTCAAATCTAAATGATGAAATCCTAGTGCCAAAATCTCCCTTTCAAAATATTCGATTATTTTCAAATTTCTTATATGTATAGAAAATATATTCTACTACTTTTATAAACAAATTTTACTCTAATCCAACTAGTGGATTGACAAATATCTAAAAAAACCTTACTGGTCCTCAAAACCTTAAATTTTGAGACCATAATCCACAAAAACCTTCATGCATTTCAATCTAACTATTCAATCAAACCCAAATTCATAGCACATATTAAGCACAACTACATCCACAAACCCAAAAAAATTTCACTTGTAGATCTAATACCAAACTTTTGAAATTGCTCAAAATATCAACCCTATTTTATTTTCCAAAAATCAAAGTTATTGAAAACAACATCGACTTTGCAAAGCTCTTATAAAGTCATTATCTACTCAAAACCCTCCAAATCAATGCTTGTAGAGACCTTATCAAGTCTCCTCTCAAATGTTACTCTTCAATCAATAAAAGAACCCTTGAATCATCGTTGGGACTCAGTTTTGTGCCTCAAGGTCTGTTTTCAGCCTAGGTTCACAACTGGCCTTCTCTAGGTATCAATATCTATTTTTTTCTAGGTAATATTTTTTTAAAACCAACTCTTAACTTCTTCTTACATATGCATATATCTTTTATTTTTCTAATCTATCTTATTTTGGCTTATTTATGGCCTTACAAAGTAAGTATAAGTCACTTTTTTAAAAAGACAGCATTACTACTAAAGTTTTATTACCTTCCTATCTTTTATCCATATTTTTTTTACTTTATCTTTTAACTTGGCTCTTCAATAATAAGATCCATATTATTATCTTACACCATATAGTTGTATTACAACACAAAAACAACATAAAACTTTTGGCTACCTTATAATTATTCTAAATTTAAGTGATAGGTCTCTATAATTACCAACTTGGTTTTTGCAACAAATCAATGAACATCAAATTGATTTTGCACTTAATTTGTATCACTAGCTGTTACTTTTGTATACAACCATTTTCTTTGGCACTTTTTAAATACTTTTATTTTTGTGCCTCTGAAA